GTTAAATAAGTTCTAAACTAATAAAAAACTGTACAGATATGTATAATCATAATGTTATCAAAAAAAATCTGCGTGTAATTATGAATGATCTTGATTTACAATGGCTTTTATGTACTAAATCCAACTGGCAGGAGTAAATGCTAACCAAATTGTAAATGCTGTAAGTATAAAAAAATAAATAACAATAATAATAATAATCATCTGATATGTCTGTGCTAAAATATGGTACATATTATACAAAGCAGTTTTCATGGACTTGTAAAACATTTAAATGAGCAATAACAGTATTTTGCTCAGTGTGCTCGTGGCAGTTATGAATACTGCAGGATGCCAAAATGACGTCTTGTAACTTCTCAAGTATGTAACGGGGCTTTTATGTGCAGTTACCGTTACTGTTGGCAACAGGAAAGGGAGTTGGAGGATCCGGCAGAAGAGCCAAAGAGACAGCCGCCTGTCCCATTCAGCCGTCATATAAAAATAATTGTTTGCCAGCGCATTCATTACCCATGACAGCCTGCGATCCTTGCCAAGGATATTAAAAATGCAATTTCTGGCCAAAAAAAATAAAAACAAAAAACAAAAAAGGGAGAAAGGGGGGAAGGGGTAAAGGGAAAAGTGCGTCGCCCGCCGCAATTCGTGTGCATTTGCAAATTGGTTCGCTGGGCGGATAAGGACAACTCGAGTTGCAATTCCATTTAACGTCTCATCATTTACCGACTTGGGAGCGGACATCAAATTAAACGCTCGAAACGCAATAAACATTAATAAAAATGGGAATCAAGGTGCTGCATCCAGATGGGAATGGCATGGAAATGCCTCATAAACAAGTCCATCAAATAAAGTGCACACAGACGGGCCAAATTTTTTGTGCTCCGCGACCATCGGTGACTTTTGGCGTAAAAACCGCAGCACAGTATTAACAATGACGCATGGAGCACCCGCACAGACACACACAGAGATACCCAGACACGCACCCACACACCCATACAGGCCAAACAGACACACACATGCACGAGGAGCAGACTATCAAATTTTAATACGCCATCCTGGCCGTGCCTTTATTTCATAAATTTTTAATGAAATTAAGCGGCAAAGCTTTTTGGGTTTTCGGGTTTCTGCCGCTGGTGTCTGAGTGTGGCCAGAGTATTTCGAAATAAATCATAAAGAGTGAAATACATAAGTAAGCACAGGACATCCAGACGGACGAACATTGTTTGCATACTTTTTTAAATGGTTTTCCAACTTTCCGCTTTCGTTTTTCGTTAACCGCAACTAAAAGTGCGCCCTGTTAAATTATGAATTAAGCGGTTTTATACGGTTATACATACATATGTATATATATATACATATATATGCACACAGCACACATACAGGATTTGGTCTTTTGTTTTTAATGAGTGCGACTGCAGGGGCTTGAATTTTTAAAAAGGTCAACTAGAATACAATGGGAGCTTCCGGGAAATCCAACTAAAGGTGCAAAATAACTGAAAAGTTTACGTGGTATTTGATTAACGTGGTATGCACACTACTTAATGTGAGGTATATTATTTATACGAATGTAGAGGGGTCACCAAACTTTTTCTAACAATTGTTGAACTGTTGAATGACTCAGGTCTTTAAATACTCTAAACAGAGAAATAAAATCGAGATGGCTTAGTTTTAAATGCATTTGTATAATTAGGCGATAAGAACTACAACCAAGATACAACTTATTAAAGATTGTAAAATATTAATTGATGTCACGACTATCGCGATCACGACTCACGCACCCCTCTCTAAATCCGATCCCCAAATGCACCCCAAAAAGTATGCAACGCGAAACAAAACGAAAAAAGGATAAAAAGTAAGACAACCCCCAGAAACCGGAGGACATGGCTGCCATATGCGAAATCAAAAGTTGTTTATGACTCAATTTGTAGTTTTGAACATGAATTATTGCAGCTGTGTGAGGGGCGTACCAAAAAAGGACTTATAGAGAGAGGGGAAGGAGAAGGCAAAAACAAAAAAAAAAAAAAAAACCGAAATCGGCAAACACGAATATGTGCTGCACACAAATTTCGGATGAGGAAAAACTAATTTCGCAAAGAGGAAATTAAATATGGCAAAGTTTGACATATGACAGATTTCTCGTTGTTGTTGCAGCTGCTCTTGCCGCTTGTTTCGATTTTATATTCATTTGTGCATGCGAATAATTGAAACATTTCTGGTGGCAAACATGCAAATTTCAATTTCAATTTGCAACGAAACAAAGACTCAACTCAACTCAACTCAGCTCAGCTCAGTGGATATATTCTCGGCAGGACAAGTCAGGTGAAGAACACTTTTTGACAGGACAAAGTGGAATTATTTGAACTGTTGTCATCCGATATAATGCCTTCTGAGTCGAAATCCCTCTCCATTTCATTTCGCTCGGTCTCATTTCATTTCATTTCATTTGGTTTCGTTTCGCATAGTTTGCTTTGTGTTTCGTCTGCTGGCCAATTTCGCATATTTTTACAACTTTAGCTCGGCACTTAATTTAGTCAATAACATGCAAATGATTCGCCCAGAGTCTAATTGGAAACGCAACTCAGCAGTCTGCGAAGTCGGCAGACTGCAACTTTTTCCCAGTTCGCCGCTCCAAGTCGCGACTCTCCGCCGGAATCCGCATTAAAAGCTGCGGTGCGTCAAACTTATAATCAAGAGGGGATTTCCGGCCAGGGACGTGAACTGGAGAGGGGCCACATGGACGTGGACGTGGATGGGGGCCAATTCGAAGGGAGGAGCCCAAAGACTGATGAGCTACAGCGTTTCTGCATTTCATCACTGCTCCTTGACTAGTGACTAGGTTCGCGCACAGAGGGAATACACTGGAAAAAAGATACCTTAAAGATTTTGAAGATTTCAAATAAATATTGTCTTTTAGGAAAGAAAACTAAATATTTCCCAGAAGTTATATCTTTAAGAAAATGTCTATGTTGTACCATTATGATATAAAAAGGTAATGAAAATCGATTTGGATTAACATTAAAGCATTTATAAACGAACAGCCTGAGATGGTAAAACAATCGATGAGCAATAAGGCGTTTTGTCCTAAACTTTATAATGTTAGGTTCTATGAAAAACAATGTGGAAATATGTTTTAAACCATGCTTAATATACTTCCTGGTTATTTCAAATTTTTTAAAAATATATATTATATAAAAAAGAAAAAAAAAGAACATTATTTATTTTTTTCTAAACATGAATTTGTTAATTTTTTGTAAATGCCTTCCCATCGTTGTTTCCCAGCCCTTGTGAATTGGTTTATGGTTTTACTTCTATTCTGAAAACCTTTTCTTTTGGATGACAGAAAATACCCTTCTTGTTTTGCAGTGTCCTAAGTGCCATGTGCAGTCGCTGCCAAGGATGCTCACATTCTTCATCATCAAGTGCTGCTCAGTTGCACGTCTGTGATATGACTCGGTTATTCGGCTGCGGTTACGATTCCTCCCTCCCCTCCGCACCGTTTCCCTTCCCGAGTTTTCCCTGTTTGCCTGGCAGTCTGTCTGTCAGTCTTGGGTTTTTCTCCTTGCTATTTGGTTGCTCAGTATGGGTTTCGGTTCTTATTTCGCAGGAGTAGCACAAGTAGCAGCAGCCCAGAAATACACACAATGGCGCGACACTCTGTTGACACATTCCGCTGACAAATGGCCATAAGTGTATAATTGGATAAGAACTAAGAGGCCGTGGGGGATCCCCCTAATTCCCGCCCAGCAATTCCCAACCGAAACGAACGAACGAACGAACGAACGAACGAACGAACGAACGAACGAGCGAACTCTTTTATGCAAACGCACTCGGAGGCCATTCAATCAAATTAGCGTGCGAGCGCAATCACCGGGCGAACAAACTAATATCTCTGGCCAGAATGCTTCATGGCTCACTACTTATCGCTTAATCACATCACAGGAGCGATGTTACGATGGCTGGGCATCGCGGCTTCGGTATCTGCATAAAACATTTAGCAACATCAAATCGTTACTCGCCCATCCACACACATCAAAGCCAATCAAAATGGCATTTCAATAATATCAGAGCCGCACAATCGCATCAGCAGGGGGGTATTTTCTGCAGCAGAGGGGGGAGGAAAAGGGGGTGGAGATCCCGTTGTAATGGAGCGCGCATATTTCGGTTCGATTGTGGGTGGGCGTCTATGCTTGAGTGTGTGTGAGCTTATGAGTCAGTGAACAGCTGTGTGTGTGTGTGAACACATCAATGATTCGTTCACAAATATTACAAGCTTGAGCTCACTCACTCACTCACACACATAAGCTCACACAGTTAGAAAGAGAGGGACAGTGCGTGGTAGACAGAGACAGTGCGACCGAGTTGAGGCTGGCGGAAATTGTGTCAAAGGATACTTTCGCTTTCCCCCGAAAATGTGTCCTTGTCCAAATGTACGAGGATATCGCCCAACGGGTGGCGAGTTGTGGGTGGCGGGGGGAGGGAGGATGTGGGCGCGTCATAAAGATATTGACAGGCCCATAAAGATAACCGTTGTGGATTGTGAATGGCATGTCAAGGAAGAAATTAGGCGGTGTTCTCATTCATGCTTTCACTTTCACGGGGTATTCTTAACTGGGGGAAGTTCTACTTGTGTAAGAAGGGACTCTTGCTTGGATTTCTGCGAAACAAGATCTTATAAATATGATCAATAACAAATTATTCTGAAAGGAAATACGAGTCATAAATCTAGTTCGAACCAAATAAGATCGAAATTAAATTTTCAAATTTATAGGATAAACTATAGTGTTGTAACTCTAGTTAAATCTTAATTCTTGAAAATTTAATTACAAAATAAACATCTAAGTTTATATCATTTTTTTTAATGTTTATTAAAAATTAAATTAAATACTTAACCCAGATAACTTAACGTTTTTTATTATACGTGTATTATATTGAACACTCGTATGTACAAATATTGTAAAGCTTTAATTGAACATTCAGACTATGTTTTTTGAAATAAATAACTTTTTAACTAAATTGTTTAGAGTCGTCCTTTAATTTTATTAACAGTACTTTTGAACAGGCTGCGTTATATATAATAATAAAAAGTATTTAATTAGAAGTAAGAAGGTCTTCGTGCAGCTGATTTTTAAAAGGCCACTACAATTTTGTTACATTTAAATTTTGATCCAGCTTATCGGCTCAGCCTTCGCATGTTTTTAAAGGACATGATCTTCGGATGGACTAGATCTATTCACCTTCCTCTTTTTCGTCGCAGTTGCAGCACTTCTTCTTCTTCTTCTCGGGAACAGGACAACTTTCATCCATACTCACAGGATCCGCCAGCGGAAACTGTTTGTTGAAAAATGGCTTGGGACCATTTTCCGCGGGATAATCTGAAGTTATGCGAGCCTTGCAAGGAACACACTCGGCCTTCTGGGCACCACTTGCGCCCTTGGCACCACCTGCACCACCGGTAGCACCTGGACCACAACCACCAGCGGCTCCAGCTGCTACACCTGCACCACCGGCACTACCAGCACAACATCCACCACCTGCATTACCGGCAGCACCTGCACCACCTGCTCCGCCGGAACCACATAGGCCACTTGCACCACCGGCACCACCGAAGGGATAACGCTGAGGCTGACTCGCCGCACCACCGGAGCAATCGCAGTCGTCCTGGACCACAGTAGGTCGATTCGTGCCCACCGAGTGGGTGGGAGCGTTAAAGGAGTCCTCTCCGTTGGTTAAGCCACCGCAATGGGGACATATGAAGTTGTTTTGCGGTGGTGGTGCTGCTCCTTTTCCTTGACCACCCGAACAATCGCAGCCGTCGGCAGCTGCATATTGTTGCTGTTGCTGTTGCATTTGCGATTGAACACATTCCGCGATGGGATCCTGCGGCTCATTCCCCTGGCCACCGCAACCGCACTTGTCCTGCGGATTATCCGGGCAATCCTCATTGCCGCAACCTTCGCATCCCGAATTCCCTTGGGTGGAGTTCCGGCCTGAATCGGGGCATTCCTCCCCTGCTTTATCAGACACCGGAAAGTAGTGCTCCTCCTTTGTTTGATCCTCATCCTGACCCTCATCCTTATTATCCTCCTGGCAACCGCAGGCTCCTTCGGACTTCTGACTCTTCAGTTGCTTAGAGCAATCCTGGGGCTCTGTCTTCTTTGCACAATCCTGTCGCTCCTTTTCCTTTTGCTGCTGGAGAAGAAACTCCCTAAGCTGCTCCTTCTGCTGCTGCATGCAATCCTTTTGCTTCTGCTGCTGTTGCATCTGCTGCTGTTGCTTCTCATCCATTCCACACTCGCAATCAGCATCGCTTTTGGGTTTCTCCACTGGTTTCTGCTCCTGGTAACAAGGGCAGTCTGGATCGTGATGAGTTTGCTGCTGCTGCGATCGAAAGGATTTCTGCTGCTGCAGTGGCTGTTCTGCTTCTTTTCCGCAGGTGCAACAAGCACTCGCTCCCTGTTGTCCTTGCTGTTGTGGCGGCTGCTTCGGTGGTCCGCAGATTCCACAACTCGCAGCACTTGGAGCGCCAACTGCTCCGGCGGATTTCTGTTGAGATCGCTCCCGTTGTTGCTCCTGCATTCGGGCTCCTGCTCCACATGCGCAATCATCTCCTGGAGCTCCCTGTTTGTGCTGCGATTGCTGCATTTGAGCTTTGGTTGCCTGCTGCTTCTGGGATCCACAGATTCCACAACTTGCTGCACTGGGAGCTCCCACTGCTCCAGGGGACTTCTGTTGCGATCGCTGTTGTTGTTGCTCCTGCATTCGTGCTCCTGCGCCACATGCGCAATCATCTCCTGGAGATCCTGTTTGGTTTTGAGCTTTAGTTGCCTGCTGCTTCTGTGACCCGCATATTCCACAACTCGCTGCACTTGGAGCTCCAACTGGTCCGGGGGACTTCTTTTGAGATGGCTGCTGCATCTGTGCTCCAGCTCCACATGAGCAGCCTTGCTGCTGCGCACGAGATTGCTGGGTTTTTATTTGCGATGGCTGCTGCTGTGCTCCAGAGCCACACGAGCATGTTCCTCCGCCTGGTTGTCCTTGTTGCTGCTTTTGGGCGATGCCACAAGAACATCCATCAGCCTGCTGCTTCTGCTGATCACAATTTGTGGAACTCTGACCAGCCATGGTTACTGAGGATTTGTTGGCTGCCGAGGGATCAGGACAACCGCAGGATTTCTTCGAGGGTTCCTCCTCCATGTAAGCCTCACTGGTAATGATGTACTCCTTTTTGCCAGAGGACCCAGCTGCACCTGCCTGACACTTGCAGCCCTCGTCGAGATCGTCGGTCAAACTTATTTCTTTTCCGTACTTGCAGAGGAACTCGATGACCACGCCGCAGGTCCAGCCGTAACCCACTGGAGTATTCTCTGAGCCACCTTCTCCGGAAGTGCCGAATTCCTCGCAATAATACTGGAAAAGAGGAGGAAAACGGTTTACGAGATGGCCATTTTAGACGGAATACTTTGTAAAGGCCGAGACTATAGTGACAGACTGTGAAACCTGAATGACAATATAATACAAGTAAAACTTGATCAAAATGTATGAAATTTGTATAAAAGATAATTGTGTAATTGGTATAAAGAAAAAGCGAACAAAACTGTACCACCTATATATAATATAGTTAGGTAAAAGTTCATTTAAGTTTAATTTACTGTAACGTTCGTAATACAAATTAAGTATTATATATAATGCAAAATTGATCATATTATAAGAAGGCATACATGTAAGCAACAGAAACGAACAACTTACTATTACTTTACTTTAATATTTATCATACAACACAAATTTCCCCCCCCAACTTTTAAGGTTACAATAAAATTCTTATAAAAATTAAATCTTCATTATACTCAGAGGAGTGACTTACCTTCTCGAACATAAAGCTCTCGTGCTTGTAGGCCGCATAATTGGACTTGACCCACCGGTGTGCCCATCGTTTCGACATGGCCTTGGACTCCCGTGTGCCCAGATTTTCCAATCCCTCGACAACGAGGAACACCATGGGCGGAAAGACATTGGGGTAGTCCCACTTCTGGCCCGACTCCTTGTTCATCGTGTAGGGTACTCCACCGTACTGCTTATCCAAATCGTTGGTCTTGATGTACTGCATCACTCCCTTGGAAACCTTTTCGGTATCCACCAAAGGAAAGGCCCTCGCCCACAAAGGAGCGAAGTTGGTGCAGCAGAAGTAGTTGCGGGACTTCCTATTGACCACATCGTAATCCAGCCAGATGCCAGCCTGCTCGTTCCACAAGCAATCCCGAATGGCCTTCACCAATAAGCAAGCTCGATCCTGGTACTCCTCCGCTTTTTTGGTGTTGCCCGCCTTGCGATGGAATTCAGCCAGGATCTTGCCACTCCTGAAAACGATTGCATTTAATTCCACGGGCACAATGGCTGAGGTTTTGGTGTCCTTGGGGGATCCTTGATTGGAGCCCTCGGAGGAAACAATCCAACGGGAGCTGAGCTCCGTTCCCGATTCAGCGGCCGACTTTAGTTCGGTGTAGACGAGCTCCCGGGACATAGCACCCTTGAGTTGAGCCACGCACTGCAGATCTTCTCTGTAAGCTTCGGGTCTTGGTCCTGCGGAGGAGTCCCTGTATTGGTACATGGTCCTGCCCTTCACCTGGATGGAGTGTTTGCTCGTGAAGGACTGGTACTCGGTTTCCAGCAAGGGAAGCGATGCAATGCCATAGCCCTCATCCTTGGTCACCTCCACATAGGCCTTCACCATCATGATCAGAAGCGGAGGGTTCGTGCGTCCCGAGCAGTAGATCCTGCCACATCCTGGCACAAATCCGTATTCCTTAACCAGCGAGAGATAGTTGTCGATCATTCCGCGGGCTGTTGAGTGCATGCCACATTGCAGCAAACCGCGAACAATCCAAAAGGAGTCCCAGTAGCGATACTCCCTGCACTCGGAGGAAGGAACTATGAAGGGATTCGGTACGTAGATAATGGAGTAGTGATCGGGGTTCTCCTTGACTTCTTCCTTCACCCTCCGACCCAAGTGCTTCCAAATTCCGTTGACATCCGAACCGAATTTCTTTATTTCGGGATCGCAGATCTTCCCGAGAAACGAAGGTTGGGCCTTCCAGTCAGGAGGATACCAGGGTTCCAACTCCGAGCCAGGCTCATTAAAGTGTTTCTAGCCAAGAGAATGACACGTTTATTAATAACGAGTTTACAACTGTAACTTAACTTTAAGGAGATTTATATGATTATTATCTTTTAATAATGTTATAAGCATTAAAATTATTTCTATAAAGAATTCGTTGTCTAACCTAAAGAAATAAACTTATGTACCTCCTTTTCTCATGAAATAAAAATGTTATATAGTCATTCGATATTTGAAAGAAGTTTAAAGTTAGAAATTGTTCTTATCAATATTTAAATTAAATTTTTAAGGTATTCGGCATTAAGTTTTCCATTAAAATCATTTTCAAAAGTCTTAAAAAATATCGGGCTTGAAATAAATGAAATGATGAAACTAAATTGCAAAATATATATTTTTTAAAGCCCTGAAGAATTTCTGTTTCTCTAACAGTGTCCGGAGGGTGGGCAAGGAATCTCAATTTAAAATCTCAATTTTTTTGATTTACCTCGACAAACATTTTGAGGAACCTCAGGGAGCCATCGTTCTTGCGGCAATTGCTGAACATATTGAAGTCAGCCATCGTTTGGCTGGGTGTAAAAATGCAGCTCATGTCGACGAAGTGTTTGCAGTCGGGGAACATATTGGATCGCTGGACAGCATCTAGCAAGGGACCCTCGCAGAAAACAGTCCTGAAACCAAATTATTGGCATTCAGGAAAAAACAAGGAGCCAGGACCGCGAAGGACTCACCTGTTCTCCCCGCCAAGAGTCTGTGCGCCGCAGTGGCATTTATTTGCCATCTTCATGCACAATTTTTCAGTGTTTTATGCGAAGGCCAAGCTGAGTGACTGATAAACAGGCAAAGTCATGACTTTCCCCGAAAACGGAATCCCAGGCGACTGGGGTTCGGGGCATAAATCAAAATACCGAACAGCCAGCCTCTGTTATATTGACCATTAAAGCAAATTTGTCGACATTTGCCATTAAGAGTCAACAATGCTCGGCCATAAATCAGCGTAAATAGACAGGAAGCGCCTGCGAATCCTCAGCTCCTTCCAGGGCAACACATTTATTTTAAATTACCATAAATGCCCCTGACCGAAAACGAAACCAAAACAAGAGCAGCGTGGCGAACTTTGCCTAAAAGCTATTGGCCTCTGTGTCCATTTGTAATTTCCAGACAATTTATCAAACCAGCAAAAGGTGGCGACGGGGGAGGCCAAAAGCCAGAAGTCGGAATGGAAATGGAAATGGCGCAGAAAATGCGCTTCAAGTGGCCATGGCCATGGCCATCGAATCAATGGATGGACGGCCGGGAGATTTGAGTTCAAGTAAAGTAAAAATTCTTCGATTCCTGGACAATCAATTGAACCGAGGAGGATGAGATGGTGGGCAATCAGCCGCGGGCGCGGCACTTCATAAATTCCTTCGCCGAATCCACTTCAATGCAAGTTTTTGGCATCGGCATCTTTTGGGGAAACTTCTCAAGAAGGAGAAAACGAGGAAGCACGGAAATTAGCCTTGTCGCATTCGCATTCTCTGTCGTCTGCAAAGTTTCAATTGAATTTTCGTCCGGCAAAAAAAGTGCTGCAACTTAAACTTTACGCCGTGTTCGAGAACAGATCCGCCAAATAATTAATTTTGCATATGTGAAAGCGCTGGCCAGAGGATGTGCAAAGGGAATCCCGTCACTTGTCCTGACACTTGACCCGATGGCAATGTGATCAACTTAACAAGTCTTGTAAAGCGAATCGCAGGCGCAGTGCGCTGAAAAAAATAGATCGAAAATGTGCCATTTTAAGCTGGGAAAAAAGTAGAGCTTGGATATCCAGTAACTAAATCAGATATCAGAAAACTTTTAGCTTCAGCTCCAATTCCTCATAATTTATGTTTTAGCTAAGATAGTAATCTTTATTTATCTTCGTTTAAATTTTTTGTTAGGGAAGGTATTATTAATATTTTTGTAATAATAAAAGCGGAAACTATTCAGACATTTTCCATTATTAAAAGACCTTTGATGTTCGGGAAAAAAATAAGTTGGGAATTATAAGAAGCTCAGTATGAGTGGAAATAATATAGAATATTTAAACGGCTCAGGGTACCAAATATCGCTCTTAGTCTTGCACAAAGTTTTCCATTCACAAAAATATATTTCTTCTTGTTGGTAATGATTTTCACAAACTCATTCAGCATTTCCTTTTTTCCAGTGTAGCTGCATTCCTTGTCAGCGTCATTCGCAGTCGCAGCTAATTGAGTATTCTTCCTTAAGTGGACACAGCCGCCGCTGGCGCCTTTCAGCCTCATTTGCAGGCCCGCACATAAATCAATAAGTTGCATTCGGCCTTAAATTAATTAAAAAGGAAATTCGCAAAGAGCAGCGAGCGGATTTTTATCCTCTTTTTTCCGCCTGGTGGTAAATGCAGTCCTTATAGTTGGAGTCTCTGCTTAAACACTCCGCCAGCTGACAGCAATCAATCAAAAATTGCACTGGCCTTAGCGCGACGGGTGGTGCCGGATGTATCACGTCCAAAAGCCACCCGAAGGCCACCCGGAACCACCCAAAAATCACCCGAAAGCCACCCGAAAGCCACCCACTTCCACGCGAAGGAGCAGGAGCATGATAAATTGTCAACACGCTGACGTTTGTCTGCAGCGATTTAAAAACTACTTAAAATGTAAATGTTGTTCCCTGTTGCTGCTCCACTCGTGTTGCTGCTGTGTTTGGGTTTTATGCACACGTCGCGCAGCGTAGACTGCGAAAATCATGTTGTTGACTTTGAAAAAATATGTGTAAAAATGCGCTATTGTAAATAACAGAGCATAAACCCCGGCGCGAAGAAGGAGGGTGAGCTCCTAGTTGACTGACTGTCTGAGGGAGAGTGATGACATGGCGATGTCAACAGCAGCAAGAACTGCTGCTGCACGCCGGCAACAGCAACATCAACATCTAGCCGTCGCAGCAACAATGTATGAAGATGCCACGCCTCCTGTGATTGCATTTTTACACTTGTCATTTGGATTTGGTGCCACCTTTGTTTGCCTTCGCACTTTGTCGTCTAGTGTTTGAAGTTTGCCCCCGTGGAACATGAACTTTTGCCGCAGCAACGTCCTGCTGTTTCCCTCGAGTTGGAGCTACTCCAAATGAGTTATAAATTCGGCTGTCAAGTATTTTGACAAGTGATTAATTGAAATCGACTCGGGAAGTTAATACAGTTGATAAGCTGGCACACACACTTGTATTCCAGTCGGGGGAAAGAGGAAGTGGGCTGTCAATCAGCCTGCCCCTCATCCAACATCCTTGGATCATTTGCTGATGAGCTAAACTTTGACCGGGTCAGAGATCAAACAAAAGGGGCTAAATACTAGAGGCCAAGCCGCAGACGCTCAAATTAAGCAGAAGTCTAGTTAAACAGAAAAGTTTCGACCCCATCCAAGCGATAGACATCTCCCTCTGCCCTTCAAGTTGAACACTTAAATTGTTAGTTGGCTGATAAGCCGCCAGCCGACTGCCGTCTGCCCGTTGCCCCGCCCCCTTTTTCGGTCGAAGTGGGCGTATATAACATTTTTATTTATATCACTATTTTTTATACGATGGCAGGAGGAGGGTGGAACCCAAAACCGAACGGAACACGCGCCACATGCCAGCGACAAACAAATAAATAAAATTCCTTTTCGGCATAGAAAGAGGAACACCCCCGCACATTGAAGGTTTTTCCGAGGGGTCAACACTGCAGAAGTGTGTGTGTTTTACAAGTCTATTAACTTGTGGCGCTTATCTTATGCTGACAGCAAGTTTTTCACTTTGCCGAAGTTTCGGTCCGGAAAACGCAACTTCCTCTTTCGGGAAGGTTGGGAAATCCTAGGAGCAACAAGGGAAGTTTTCGGGGCAGTTCTGATGTCAATCATTTGTTGATCATTTTTCTTTCAGGCCATGCATAATATATAGCCACCATTTGTAGATGACCACAACTGTGTCACTGAGTTCAGAGAAAGCAAATAATCATATTTATTGGGCGCTTGTATGATTTTGTTGATGATAGGGAAAAAATGTATACAGTATACAATGCTATCAACTGGTGACTTTTCTCAAGAAATCATTATTCTTTCCGGGCAATTTAAAATGTGTATATACATTGCAATGCAATAAAATATATGTAAACGCAATCATTGACATTAATGTGTATTCAGTGCATGGTTTTATAAAACTCAGTTGTATTCTGCTGTTTTAACTGAGATGTTCTCCGCGATCGGTTTGCTGACTATATCAGCAGTTGTATTTTTGGAAGTGAAGTATCTGCCACGTTACTGGACACTGGATGTAGACCATCGTATCACACGAGAGTCATTGGTGGTCATAATGCCCAGCGATCTCCTTGGATGGCATATTTAATTCGAAATGGAGCCTTTGCTTGTGGTGGCTCTCTAATTGCATACCGTAAGTATTTAGAGTTCGTTTTTCAAATAAAATATTTTTACTTTTAATTTGATTATTTTTAAACATTTTTATTATTTCATCTTCCTTTCAGGCTTTGTTCTAACCGCTGGCCATTGTACACAAATTTACGACAACTTGTATGTTCGGAAATATTATTATCTTCTTTGATTCTTTCATTAAAATCTTTTTTTATTATAGATATGTAAGGTTAGGGGAATACGATTCCTCAAGACGAACGGATGGTAGGACTAGAGATTACCGAGTTGTTTCCATTCATCGCCATGACAATTACATAAGTTTTCATCACGATGATATTGCAATACTTAAATTGGATCATGCAGTGGCCTACAGTGGTAATATAAATATTTCATATATATAATTTATCTATTTATGATTCAACAAATAAATCTATATTATTCATTATTTAAAGGATATATTAATATATTCAATTTTCCCGCTTTCTTTTACAGCCTTTATCAGACCAATCTGTATTTTAACAAACCCCGGATTCCAGTCGGTCGCAGACAGGATTCAGGACTTTACCTTAACCGGATGGGGTCAATCCGCCCACTACTACCAAATGCCCACGACGCTTCAGCAGATGTCCCTCCGCCGGGTTGATCGATACTATTGCAGTGCTCCGAGCAATACAATATGTTGCAGCAATCCCTCGAAATTTGCCTGCTTTGGGGACTCGGGAAGCCCACTGGGAGCCCTGATGAGATACGGAAACCATAAAATATTTGTTCAATTCGGAGTCACCAGCTCTGTGACGGGAAATTGTGATGGCTATAGCACATATACCGATGTCACGAGTTACATGCCCTGGCTTCTGAGAACCTTGCGCGCAAATTGGAGCTGATTAATGGGAAAAGATACTGTAATATTAAAAAATTTTGATGAACAATGTTTTTTTTTAGAACCACATAATGGTTTATTTGGTGATTAAAATTATTGGTTACTATTTTTAGAATCAATATCGTAATCCTATTAGATTGATCGCCTTATAATAACTAAACCAGATACGCACAATTTTGTTTTTAGTTTTTTTTAGAACGATGAAAGCTTTCTTTCGTGTGCTAAAAGGAAAAGTGCCAGACTGTCGGAGGGAAACTTTTCCTGAGGAAAACTGTTGATTTCCTTGGCCGTAAGGACTGAGAATTGGTCAAGCTAGTGGCTGCTTCATTAAATGCGACGCCAAAAAGTTGCATCCCTGCTCTTGGCTGCTGGAAATATTTATGAACTGTCCGACTGCTGCATATATACACATATATATAGTCTAGCTATACCTTAGTTCTGGCCAAGAGCATCGCAGTCCACCTGGCCACCTTCTTTCAATAAACGTTAAGCATTACGGTTATTAGTTTCAGGACGGGCACATAAAAACTTCAACCCGAGTTGAGTCGAGTGGAGAGACAACTTTGTGTTGCTACTTTGCTGATGCTATCTGAATTTGCTGTTGCTGTTGCCACTCTGTAGCGGCGGCAACATGTTGCAGATGCTGAGATAGTGCCGGCGTTGACTAGTTGACTATGTTGCCATTCGGCGAATGGCTGAATGGGACCTATGGAAATTACGGAAACCGTGATACTTCCAAGTGCATTACATGCAAAGTCCCTGCGGCAGTGACAACAGCAGCAGTAACAAATTCAGCAGCAGAAACAGCAACAGCAGCAGCAGCACAACAGCAACTTATTAACGCGCAATCTGAGCTCTGCAATTGACCGCAATGGGCGGGGTTCTGGAGGGGCGGGAAGGGGGATTGGGGGACTTGGGTGGACTGCAAGGATCCTGAAGCAGGAGCGATGACGCCGACGACGACAGGCGGAAACGGAAACGGCAAATAAACGCACGAGCGCTGACGTGCGGGCACCAGCGTGTCAGCGTCCGTGTCTTTGTGTTGCCGCCGTGCACGAGTGTATGCTGCACTTGTTTGCATGCAACGTGGCAACATGGCAACGACAATGCCAGCAACAACAACAACAGTAACTGCAACAGCAACAGCAGCAGCAGCAACGGGCATTTATCTGGCTGCCCAGACCTGCCACGCCCCTCGTAATACATTGCGGTCGGGATGTTGCATGTTTGTGGGCGCTCGCCTGCGTTTGTATTTTTTCCATACCTACCAATGGGCCAACTAAAGGGGTATGCTCTGTATAACGAAGCTGATAAATTAAATTATTATTTTTAAATAATTAAATTTAAATATTTTAAATCCCATGCACTTTATAAAAAGATACATGCATTTTTCCACACAAATCGAAAAAAGAACTAAATTATGGCAGCAATGTCTTTCTTTATGAATTACAAATTTTTATAAAGCGTTTGAATATTTAATAAAGATTATATTAATTAACAATAAAGTGTGAAAACGGTAGCATTCAATATAAAACACGTAATTCAAATTAAAAAGAAAATATACTTTTAAAGTTAAAATGAACAAATAATCTGTTGATCTTCTAAATTAAAATATTAAAAATAACAATTTAATTTACGAATTGAAACAAGATGCCTTTCTACAAATATGAATTAAATCCATATTTAATATGTTTCCTTTGAAATGTTTTTAAAATCCCCCACTTCCAACTAATACTGTTTCTTTAAATCTGCAGATTCAATTCAAGCTAAATATTTTAAATCACTAAATAGCAGTCCAGCAGAAATGATGAGTATTTTGTAGTCCTTAAATATATGTTTTTAATTCCCACACTTAAATTTTTTCTGTTTGCTCGGCGCCATCGTTCGCATGCACGGCGAGGATTTCTCTGCTTAATTTGTGGTTTTCAACCAAACAGAGCAGCGTTGGCGATGGCGATGGCAATGGACTATGGACTATGGAGAATGGAGTATGGACTTTGGACGAGGGCTGGCAGATGGCAGAAAAGCGGCGGACGGACGAACGGACGGACGAGCCCAGCTAACCAACTGGTCAACAGCAATTGCAATTGCAATTGAGGTTGGAGTCGCACGAATATTCCAGGAAACCCTTAAATATGATTATGGCATTCGAAAGGCCTACGAAGCGCAGTACTCAGTAGGGTATTGCGGCCATTTGGGACCTGATTTTTGGCCATCTTCGCTGGAATCCCTCTCTCGCCCGCCTTTCCACGAACTTGATTTAATTGTCACACATTACGAAACCACAATTACATAGAAAAATGCGGCAGCCAGCGGAAATGGCAACAATGCAAATGGCAAACAGAACTAGCGGCAACTGCAGCAAATAATAACAGCGAACTGTGACCAGCAAGGACCTTCCATTTTCCATTTTCCACTTCCCATCCCCTTGGCTCAAAATAAAATGCGCCATTTGCAATTGTAGTTTATTTTAATACCGCAATTAGTGTTGTTTTCTGGGCGGAGTGGTGGGGCTCCTGTGGTTCGGCGGTTCGGCGGTTCAGTGGGTTGAGCACGCAATCGTGGAAACGTCGGAAAAACCAAGCGGAATGCCATGTTGCCACACCATTTGAGGTGGCCCAAAGCTGCCGCAGAGGTAGTGGCATGAATATATTGCAAGGAATGCATTGTATTTCCGGAAAAGCTGTCTGATTACCAGTCCACCACTCCACACTCTCGCATCTGGAGAGCTCTCCATTTGTCTGACCATTTGGAATTATTTGTGATGCAGCCGCTGTTAATTGATTTTTAAGTGCCAACTACAATCAGGTGCTTCCATCCGCATCAGGTGACACATGCAGGATCATATTATTGCCATCCAGCTTCAGATAAAAAGCACTAATGTAATCAAGGGTAAAAAATAATTGCAGGTAAAGGTGGTTGACTTTGAAATACACTAACCAAATTTGAAAATTCTCGTTGGTTATAAATGACAGAAAAAGAATAAAAAGGAAAAACTTTTTTCAAAATTATTGACCAAATGGCTCTTTAAAAAAACAGGTACAAAATTGTGAGATAAATAAAATACATTTTAAAATCACATACAAATCATGACAAGAATAACAAGTTATTGTATTTAAATTTCAATAGCAATATAGTCATATTCACTCTCTTGGTGAGCTTGATTATTTATGGATAAATTCTGAATTTTAGTTTAGAGAAAACTATTTGAGTTGATCACCTCTTCCATCAAACTTAAATCGCTGGAATATTCTGTATCACCCACTATTGTCAAGTATAACAATCCGATTGAAAGTTAATTGCCGCATACACCTCGCTGATCCCCCACATTTGTTCTATGTCCAACGGGTGTAATCGCATTTTATGTTGAACGCACTTAATTTTTTGCCCCAACTAAATGCCAATTAAAATTGGTAATTATTTTTTAATGGCATTTTGTGGTCAATATCGGGCGATTGACGATGATTGCACAGCGGTGGATCCGCGGAGTGCTTCGCTCGTACTTCACTTTGATGACGGGATGTCGTCGTGACAATGCAAATTTATGACGAGCAAATGGCCAAATGGCCAGTATCGATATCAATTGCATGACTTGTCAGTGCGGCGCCCGCCTAAAAGAAAAGTGCCTTACATGTCCTCGCATGTGGATGTGGGGGTTGGGAAATTGCAAGCAATTGCAGCTCAAACAAGGAATCGCAATAAGAGCCACGATGTCCTGCAGCCATGTCCTGCCTGGCTCAATGAAATTCGAGCAATCATCACCATCAACATTTCGTTTCACTTCGGAAGGACACGGCAGCAACATGCCGCAAGTGACAATCATTTATATTTAATAAACAACTAACGCATGCAGGGCACACAAGTAAGGTCAAAATAGTAGCACTTAGAAGGAAAACCATGTTCTAAATACAGAATTAAGGTATTATTAGTTGAGGTATTATTATAGATTTTAAACAGCATATTTACATTTAAGGCTTAAGCTAAAAATGTATACCATAATAGGCCCAAAAGATAAAGAAATTGCGATTTAAACATTATTTTTTACAGAAATAAGGTCAAGTATCTAACAATATAGAATATATTTTATAGCATTTTTAAGTATCAAACAAAATATATATCAATCTTTAAATAAATTAAAAATGGTGTATATGTTGTTTCAATTTTTAAATAAATTAAAAATGGTGTATATGTTGTTTCCTATTTATTTTAAAATTATATTTAAATGCAACCTTAAAAAGCAAATACATATTTCGATATTATAAAATGTGTTTATAATATTTAATAAGAACGAAGAAGAGGAAATAAGGCGACAATTAGTACATCCCCAAGGGCTTAAAGTTAAAAAGGACTCGTTGTTTTCTTTGTTCTCAGATAAAATGATTTTTTTTTCTATTCTTCCGATCGCTGCTGTAATTCCTTTGATTGGGGGCGGCAAAAGGGGAACGACTGGACGGAAAAACAACAGCAAGATGACGAGACTAAGCGGCCATTGTCTCCTCCCCTTTTGCCCCCGCCTTTCTCTCAGTGGAAATTGTTTATCATGCATTTTGTTCGATTCCGAGTCGAGGCGTCTGAATAATGCAGCAGGTAGTGTACGGTGATGGAAAAGCGGAAAAGTGGGCGTGGAAATTGGAGGGCGGTCAAATAAATAAGCGAGCATGAAAACGAAGACGAAAACAAAATGGGGCAGAAAACAACAAGAGCAACAACAACGAAAAAGGACAACAATGATGCAGACACAAAACCGCTTCGAATCGCTTTGGGCGGCATTCAAATTGAATATTGAAAGCATCGAACACAAAACTGCCAAACGCTTGAATTATGCATTAATGATGTCTGCCACAGTGGACAATGGTCAGGGGAACTGCGGGGGGATAAGGTGGACCAAGTGGGGTTAAGGGGAGGGGTTAGGGTTCAGAAGGGTTTTTTTTTTATTCCAGAGACAAGAACAACGGCCATGCGACGTCCGCACTCGCTGGCCAACGCTTATTAATTTTTTATGCGTCTGCTATTTTTATAGTCAACATGGAAGCGTTCGCCGCAGGCGCTTCATTCTCCTGGCCATTTTCAGCTAGCTTTCAATAGTTTTTAGGGACATTTCCATTTGCTCTAGACCCACTCACGCCAACAGGGGTTCGGCTTGAAACAATCACTCCCCGATAGCAAATTACATAGTACCTTTTTGTAACATAAAGGGATTATATTGTAAAATTTACAGATTAAATGAGTAAGCACCATTGTAATCAGGGCTCTTATAGTGAGGTGTATGTTGCATGAAAGAATTAATTCGAACACAAAAAATCTTAAAGTTGTTTTATAAACTGAAAGTTGTTTAATTTTATATTAAAAAACATGTGATTATCATTAATTATAAGTTCAATGAATTTGGTTGTTTCTTTTGGAGTTTTGTGTTACTGTTTGCTGTCAAAAACCATTGTTAATTTAAGTATACTAATAATTTGCTGAATATGTTTTGGAAAAATGTTAAGAAATATTAAAAAAATTAAAAGCGAAGACTTTAATTGCTATTTCTTTGAGCACAACTGTCAGTTCAATGGCAATGGCCATTGTTCGCTAATATTTCGCCAACAAAGAATTACGCTTTGTGCGGCCAGATTTTCCCTTTGGCTTAATTCTGTTTGTTGGCCAGTGCCAGTGCAATGGCTTCGCTTGTGCAAATAAAGCACGCCCTTGACAATGGCCGTCAATATCCCGATATCGGTGGACAGAAAGACGTTAATTACCAGCATTACCGCGCGTCCCATTATCGGCCACACAAATCAGCGGTGATGTAGGAATGGAAACCTGATGCACCGTGTGCGGGGCAATGGAAAACTCATTACATGCCACAGGAGCCATCATCCAGGATGCGGGGAACAAGGGCTCCTCCCTAAAAGAGCGACCGCAACATGCTGTAATGCGTGGCCCCATCAGCATTTGCATGTGCAGCTGGATGCGCCCGATACTTAAAGCCAACGGGCCATATGTGAGCCCCAACTGCCAAAGGCCAAACTTAATGTCAACACGCTAATCTGTCAGTCGGCGGGAGTCGGGATCTGGGAACTTGGAGCTCCGAACAGGGAACTGGGAGCTGGGAGCTGGGAGCAGCGATATGCGATTGCCAAAGGATCTGCCACAATGTCGGACTACTTAAGGAGCGCGGAAGCGCCACGCCTCGCCGCACAAAAGCTAAAGGATATTAGAAGTGGGCGCAACTGGGGCAGGAGCACTCCACAAAATGTCACCATTTTTAGTAAAAAAAATTCTTTAGACTCTAGTAAAAGAAATTCTGTACATCTTGGAGATGTTCTCTTAGATTAATGGTTAAAAAGGACACTCACAAATTTACTAAAAGTAACAACTTAAAGTTAATAAAAACCCAACATTTTTTAAAAGTTTTTAACGTAATTAATAAAAACTTTTCCTTAAATACATTGCCATGACAAAAATAGTTAACACTGGCTTTCAGTCTCAAAAGAAAATCAAACTCTTTTGCAAAAATAAATGATCAAAAAATTATTTTCCGTACTTTCTATCTATTTTAATATGCTAATTTATTACAGGGAAAGTAATGGCTATTTAAAACCAACTTAAAATGTATGAAAAATGTGTTTAATATTAATAGGTGATTATTTTTAAGTGTAGCTCCGTCTTGGCGACGCAACAATAACGCTGTATACTTTGAAATGACAAAAATTGGTTGCTCTCAGTGAGGCTTGACGGCTGACTTGGCAGGAGACTCTTGCGGGCACCACAAGATGCCAGCCATCACATCAGCCAGCCACCCATTCACCCACCTTACACCACCCACCACCCACCTACCCCTTCCACTCCCCCGAAGGACGCGCCTTATCAACTATGCAGAGCTTTGTCTCTAAGCGATTGCAGCCGCCCCCTTTTTCTCGACCCAACCTGTTTCCTCCCAGGCAGCGTCTTTTGTTGCGCTTAATGAATTTTACGTAAATTTTACGAGCGCTGATTTCTGGCAGCAGCACCACCCCAGCTATTAATCCACACTTTAGTGGGAGCACCACCCACCCCGGTGGGTGAGTGGTTGAGTGGATGAGTGGATGAGCGGGCGGATAGTGGGTGGCTCTGATGAGTGGTTCCCCCCGGTTGTGCGTGTGTAATGACAAGTTCAACAACAACTCGGCATTGTCGACTGGTGACGAGGACGACGTGCTCCGACATTTGTTTGCCCAAGTTATGCAAATATTTTTCCAGTCAAGAAGTTTTTGTTTAATTGCATATTTTGACTCGCATTACGCGTGTCATAAAGCAAGGATCCGAGGCTTACCACAATGGAAGGAGTTGGGCGGGAATTAAGAGCACTCCGAAGACATGTTCCTGCATTTTACCAGTTACCAAAAGGCAGTTATTTAGATTTTAAGCTTTTATTTAATAATGTAATATGTTTATAGCAAAACCCACGGGTAACTAAACTAAATAAAACAACAACTATACTTTTAACCCAAAACGAGAGGAAAAACTATAACTATTTACAATTTCAATGGGGGTGGCAAACGTTTAAAAGCAACTGAAGGCGCCACTAAAATTCGATTTCCCTTTATTAGAATCTCATCACAATATTGTTTATCTAATATGTAGTATTAAATGTTTCAACGGACATAGGGACATTAATGATTCTGATATAAACACTTTAGTTACCAAGCTAACAATGTCTTTATTAGTGATACTTTTTTACTATTTTTGTAAGAAAATATAATAACCAAAAACTTTACAAAAAAAGTAGCCTTTATAAGCTATTTACGGCTTAAACAATAGCCTTTCTCAATTCCAACTTTGCTACTAAGAAAATAAAAACCCGTTAAAAACCAGTTAGAGGCTTGACTTTCTTAAGTTTAAATAGTTAAAAAATTTGTGGCATATTTTTTTGCGTACGCCCTTTCCCCTTTCGCCAGCCCTGACAGCTTCCGAGTATCGGAAATCGAGTACTTTCTTTCTATCAGACAGAATGACAGGCGACTTTCCCACTTGCCTTCTCCCATTCTTCCTGGCAAAACAAACTGCATTATCATGACAAGTGCTGACGATAGGATTTCTGTGGATCTGGAACCGGCTACTCTGCTGTCAGTGAAAGAGGAGAACGGAATCGTTACCAGGGTGTACATCGCCCCCTGTTCCAGGCCGAGAACTAAGAAGGCTCAGGCTTTTCCCGAGGAAACAACTCTGCTTTTCCACTGTTCGTATTGTGGCAATGGCATTCGCACGGCCGGCGCTTTCAAGGTGCATTTGCTGGCCTGCCAGCGACGTTCTGAAAGAATGCGAGAGAGCGGAATAGTAATGCCACAGCTGCGGTGCAACGTGTGCAACAAAAACTTCGCTTCCGTGGAGTCCCTAGTCAGCCATAGACTTCGCCACAGCTATTTTCAAACGAAACAAAAGTGCGCAGTCTGCGATGTAAGCTTCGATACGGAACCCGAGTATCGCGCTCACTTGGAGAGTCATCTGAGGTCCAAAAAGAACAGGGGATCCAATTCGTCGGTCACCAAGATCTTCAACTGCTTCTTCTGTCAAAAGCCGTTCTTGGCCAGCTTTCAACCCGGTCAAGTGACCCGTCGGTACGGCTGCGATGATTGCATCCAGAAACTCAAGACCAAGGAGGCGGAGAAGGAAGAAACCAAGCCTGTCAATAGAAAGCCCGATTATATGTGCGATCGCTGCGGGCGAAGGTACAAATACGAGGGTTTTCTCAACCGTCATTTAAATGGATGTAAAGGGGCTCCCAAGCTCCACGGAATACGCAAAGCTAAAAACAAAAAAGACAGCTAACATTTAATAAATTTTTGTTTTATGAATTTTTTTATTATACATTGCACTTGTTTCATTTATTTTTTAAAATATGAATGAATAATCATTTTCTATACTAAACATTTTTGGCATTGTTAAAGAATTTATTATATTAAAAATTTTAATTTTAACATAAATATTAACATGGAAACGAACACTTCGTGTTATGTTTAATTTTATCATAATTTATTTTGTCTCAATATTATTTTCATAGGTTCAAATATTGGCGCTCTTCTTACCGATATCTGTTTACATTTGCTATCGATGGGGTGGCACTTTTCGATAACTCATCAGTTCGGCGGTATTTTTCTATTCAAAGCGTTAGTCAATTTCAAATCCAGCTGCACGTGTAAAATTTGTGAGCCCTCCGTCGTAAATAAAAGTTCTTTAGAGAAATTGCAGCAATAATCATGAGTGGAGACGAGTCCAGTGACGGTCTGGAAGACCTCAAGGACCTAATGGCCCTATACGGCAATCAGAAAGAGGAGGATCCAAAAGATGGTGAAATTAAGCGCTTTATGCGGAAGGCCTCGCAGGCCAAGGAACTCAACTACGTGGAGGTCCCCATGGAAAAGGTACTCTTCGGCGACCGACAGCGTTTCCTCACCAATCTGGCCAAGTCGGTAGGCCAGAAATGGCAGCCCAGTGACGACGAGGAAGAGGGAGAACGCAATAGCGTCCAGCAGAAAACTGGAGACAAGCGGAAAGCGGCCTGGTCGGATTCCGATGACGAGGATCTTCAAGTGGGCGATGTCAAAAAGGCCACCAAGCACACGGGTCCACTTAACCACCTACGGAAGGACAAATCCTACAAGGAATACCTCACAGCTCGATTCCACCGCACTCTTAACCAGCCCAAGTGGGCGGAAAAGAAGGTCAAGAAGGACGAAGATGACGACCTCTCCTCCGACGAGGAGCTGCTGAAAACCGTGGGCTTCATCGACCGCAAGGCACGCAGCAGTGATTTGCCCCAGAAAACCCTGAACTTCAAGAGGGTCAAGGACCTAAACAGAGCCACCTATTCCGAGGGCTTGGTCTCCAGCATCCAGTTCCATCCGAGCAGCACCGCCGCTCTGGTTTGTGGGGAAAACTCCGTTGCCACCATCTACACGGTAGACGGACAGAAGAACGAGAAGCTGCACAGCATGCGCTTCAAGAAGTTTCCGCTGGTCTGTTCCAGGATCGCTCCGTGCGGCACAAAAGCGTTCTTCGGTTCGGTAAGAAGATTTTACTACGCCTACGATCTGCTGGAGGCCAAGGAATCCAAATTGACGATGCCGGGAGATATAAAGACCATGCACAAATTCGAGGTTTCACCATGTGGCAAATTCATTATTGTTGCTGGAAAGTATGGAGCCATCCATCTGCTCACGGCGAACACAAATGAGCTGCTGCACAGCTTCAAGCAGGAGGGCAAAGTAAAGGATTTCACTTGGTCTGCGGACTCTAAAAGGGTCCTTGTCTGCGGCGCCACATCCAATGTTACCGTACTGAATCTTCGGCAGAACCTAATCGAACACACCTTCATGGACGACGGCTGCATCAATGGACAGTGCATCCAACTGGCGCCGAACCAACGTCTTTTGGCCACTGGCAGCCAAGAGGGCGTGGTAAACATCTACGACTACGAGAACGTGTTCGTTTCCAAAGCGCCACAGCCCGAGAAGCGCTTCATGAACCTGAGGACTGGCATCTCGGATCTGCAGTTCAATCACTCATCCGAGCTGCTGGCGATGAGCTCCGGTGAGGCGCCTAATGCCGTCAAGCTGGCCCACTTCCCCAGCGCCACCGTGTTTTCCAACTTCCCGAGTCAGATCGAGAACGTGGGCTATGTGACCTCCATGGCCTTCTCGCCGCACAGCAGCTTCCTGGCCTTCGCCACCAAGGGCAAGCGGGTGCCGCTCTTTAGGCTTAAGTACTTCAAGGGATACTAATTGAAGGCTGTATGATTTATATAAAATATTATTATGAGAAAAAGTATGTGAAATTAAGAGCTTTTTTTTTAATTTTCAAAACGAGAATTCTTATATTCCTGTTGATTGGAAGACTCAAATGGTTTGTAGTTACAGTGGATCTTTTATTAAAGTTACAAGTTAACAAGCTTTAAGAGAATAACTATTAGTAGGGAGCTCGAAAGATGTCCCGCTTCTGGGAGTCTTGAATCTTGCCAATGTCGTCCAGCTTTTTGCAGATGTTCGTCGACTGCGATTCGATCCATTGCAGCGAGCTCATGTGGGCATTGAGGATCTTGCCGATCTGAATGATGGGATCAGTGGTGTCCTGGCCCTTGTTGGCTTCGTTAAGGTTGTCGATAATCTCCTTCAAGTCCTCGGACATCTGCTTCAGCTGTGTGTCCAGGTTCTCCACCATCAAGTAGGTCTGACTGCGTTCCATGTCCACTCGTGGAAGATTCACAAACTCCTTCTCCAGCGGCGCCAAGCTGTCCTCCAGCTCCTTTTGCTGCGTGGCTATGAACTCGAGCTCCTGGTCGAGCACCTGTTGATCGGTTTTCACCTTTTTTACAGCATCGTTGAGCTCCACAATTTTCTGATTGTTGCTGATGAGCAGTTTGTCCCAGGCGTTGATCTGCGTGGCCTGTTCGGTGAAAACCTTCTCCTGCTCCTCGAACTCCAAAGTCCACTTGTTGATGTGCTCTTCCAGTTGATTGTAAGACAACTGAGAGGCCGTGGAAACGGACGCGGAGTCTGTGGTCTTGGTCTCGGTGGTAAGATTGGCAAAAGCCCCACCGGTACTAAGAGTTGGTGCTGCAGCAGCTCCCAGTTGGGGAGCGATGGAGGTTGGAGCCGCAGTCAAAGTGGTGGGAGCCGCCGCAGTGCTCTTGGCAATTCCCAATCCTGTGCCCCCCAGCAATCCTGTGGCGGGAGCAGCGGTGTTGGCTGTACTGGTCGCTAAGGTTGGCACTACTGCTGCCGTCGGCTGAGCCATGAAGCCTCCAAAGGCTGGAGGAGCTGCGGAAGTTGCAATCGCCGGTGCAGAAGTGGCAACAGGATTGGCGGGTTGACTGCCCAGCGTGAGAGGAGCTGCAGAAGATGTCGTCAGGCTAAAGCCACCGAAGGCTGGTGGGGCCTGTGTCTTGCTGCTGTCCGCATCACCTCCGCCGAGATTAGAAGCAGCCGGTGGTCCTCCGAATGAGAATGTGGGTTTTGTGGCGGGAACAGCGGCTGTTGTTGCCGGAGCTGCGGCTGCAGCGGGTGAAGTACCAAAGGAGAAGCTGGAAGCACCTCCTATCGGAGCGGCTGTAGTGGTGGGTAGTTGAAATACCATGTTTAAAATCCTGCCAAGCCGGAGTAAATAAAAAAACTTAAGTCAAACGAAATCACGCCAAAAATCGCCAGTGTGACCTTTCATGGGATTTACACTTTGGCAGTGTTGTAAAACAGATGATACTTATGAAATCAACTTATAGCTTTTTTCAAGCCAGAATTTACTTAGTTTTCTTGAATTGAGCGCGCAAACAAAAACTTTTAAACATTCTTGAAAGACAACAATCACACAATAAAATTATTCGTTTAATAACCAAATGATTTTAAGGTTTTTTATTAAAAGAAACTTAATTAATAAATCTTCACCTCAAAAATATAAATATAAACTATTAATTGTTTATTTAATTGTACTAAATATAACTAAAAACCAAATATATATATAATATATTTAAATTCTCTTATCATCATGTTAGTTAAGAAAGCTTAAACAAAAATTTTATTCAATAAATTTTTTTTGCGAACAAAAACAAAAACAACAAATTTAGTATTAATATAGACTCTTTAGATTTGTAAAACATAACATTTAAAAAAAATTGTTATAGAACATCGGTTCAGGTGATTTTCCTACTGAATTCAACACTGCTTTTGTGGTATAATTTAGTAGCAGTTTTTGCTACACAGCTTAAAGATAATCCGCGTAGCTTGAATATTAAATCTGATTAATAGTCAAGTGTCAAACAACAACTCTAATCAAGCCTTAAAAAACGTTGATGACAAAATCAACAACGAAACACCGGCTTTAATTAGTCACCTTTTGTTATCTGAAAGTGGAAAAGCGATAAGGTAACATTTGGGTCAAGAATTTAATTACAAGCCCAGAGTGCAATGGCATTTGGTTTATTAATTGCATTTGCTAACTCAGCAAAACAGCAAAGATACCTTGTGTGAGTGTAATCACTATCAAATTATTACTGAATTATTGCGTTCTTTTTAGAGCAGAAAAATTAACTTAGGTTGTATTGGGAATTTTAGAGGTACCTTATGTATAACAATATTTTATTTCTTTTTAAGAAAACATAACCATAACTATTTAAAAAAGGATGACTTGAACGTAAGAGAGTAAAACCAACTACAAACTCAGCTCACAATTTAAAGTCAAAAACTAAGAAGACATACCATGTTATAAACATAAATAATCTTTAGGAAAACGTCTCTTTGTTAAATTAAAATATATGCAATCTTTTGTAGTACCTACTAAATTTACCAAGTAGGCACTGTTTTCTTTCGATACCCTTCCCATCACTGTTCGTGTACTCTTGCCTATGCTCAGCAATTCCCCAATTTTGTAGCCCAGTTTAGCTGGCAAACAGCGCCAGAATTGAACAACAAAAGCATATCAGAAGCCCCTGTTGTGCTCTCCTCGCTTTTCTCGCTGCTTGCTCCCAGTGATCGCTGTGAACTTGGCGTGATAAGGGGCTCCGGCTCCTCCTGCAATCGAAAAAGCCTGCTGTTTGTTCCACACGGCGAACACCAATCAGTCGATGGGTGTGCTCCACTGCAATAGCAATTAGCCACTAACCTTCTACCGGGTCTTCAGTTCCTCATCCTCTTCAGGTTCCCCCGTTCAAACAGACTTATCTGGAGTGCCGCCGCAAGAGCATATAAATTCCCTGGGCGCCCAAAGGCCAGGATTCAGTCGGCTTCAATAGCTCGCGATGTTCGGAACGTGGGGCGTCTTTCTGGGCGGGATCCTCCTGCTCCAGACTCTACAAATTGTTGTTGGTCTCGACAACGGTCTAGCACTCAAGTGAGTATTTAATATTGATTGGATTTTACTATCCCTAATTGAAATTTTCCATTTTCAGGCCACCTATGGGATGGATGTCCTGGGAACGGTGAGTAATATTCCATCCAATTTATTATAGCCAGGGGCGGACGCAGAAAAAAATTTTGGGGGGGGTCCGATCAAAAAATTTTTGGTTTGGGGGGGTCCGATCAAAAATTTTTTTAGTTTACATGGTTGAAAGACCGAGTGCTGTAAGGGAATTTGAAAAAGTCTGGGTTTTTGGGGGGGGTCCGGACCCCCCGGACACCCCCCTGCGTCCGCCCCTGATTATAGCTATTAAATATTATATTTTGTGCCTTAAAAAAAAAAATAGGGCTCTAATTAGGGTTCATCATGAACTCTCCTCGAGCTATGCAATAACTTAAATTATTATATCATCACATTTTTAGATGTAAATTTGAGATGTAAAATATTCTCGAGTAACAAAGTCTATGAATACGGAAATACCTTAAATATTCTTTGTAAATTCTTCTCATATATTTTAGTTTCCGTTGCTTGACTGACTGTAACCTTTATCCAGACGAGTGCATCAGGTAAAATCTCTCAGCTCTTAATTAGCTTGTACCTATATATTTTTATTTGTGCTCGATAAACCCTTTTTAGTGAACGACTTTTCCGTCGACATGCGGATCTTTTGGTATCCGAGGGTTATGCGGATGCTGGCTATGAGTACATTATCATAGATGACTGCTGGCTGGAGAAGAATCGAGACAACGATACTCAGAAACTAGTGCCAGATAAAAAACGTTTTCCGAATGGCTTAAACCCGCTATCAGATCACGTAATTTATTAGGTTTCAATCCAAGAAAACCCCCTTAGAACTTGAACTATTTTCAGATTCACAAAAATGGACTGAAGTTTGGTTTGTACCAGGACTACGGCACCAATACCTGTGCTGGTTATCCCGGTGTGATCAAGCACATGAAGCTGGACGCACAAACCTTTGCCGATTGGGATGTGGACTACGTTAAGTTGGACGGCTGCTATGCCAATATCAGCGACATGGCGACGGGCTATCCGGAGTTCGGTCGGCTGCTGAATGAAACTGGTCGTCCGATGGTTTACTCCTGCAGTTGGCCAGCTTATCAAGAAGATGCTGGCGAGATGCCCGACTATGAGTCCCTCAAAAAGCACTGCAATCTGTGGCGCAACTGGGATGATATCGACGATTCGCTGGAGTCACTGATGCAGATCATGGACTACTTTGCCAAGAACCAAGACAGGATTCAGCCGCATGGCGGACCTGGCCACTGGAACGATCCGGACATGTTGCTGCTGGGAAACTATGGCCTAAGCTACGATCAAAGCAAGCTGCAAATGGCCATTTGGGCGATTATGGCTGCACCTCTGATAATGTCAAATGATTTAGCGGCAGTGCGTCCCGAGATCAAGGAAATACTTCAGAATCGGTCGGTTAAGCTTAAAGACTCTTTCCAGGTGTATTGCTTATGAATCTTTCATTTCAGTGCGGTCATTGCAGTGGACCAGGATGAGTTGGGAATCCAGGGACGTCGTATTTTAAGCCGTAACCAAATCGAAGTCTGGACTCGACCCATTACTCCGATCGCAAAGAATGGACATCACTCGTATGCCGTGGCCTTCGTTAGTCGTCGAGACGACGGAGCTCCCTACAGGATCCCCTTCACAGCAAAGGACCTTGGACTCAACAATCCCCGTGGATATCGCGTGGAGGATCTGTACGATGCCAGCAACCAGTTGGAAGTCTTCCAAACCCAGAATCAGTTTATTACTCGCGTCAATCCTAATGGTAAAATCAACTATTAAACTTAATATATGCCTTTATTTATACAATTTCCCTCTGCCGCAGGCGTAACTTTCTACAAGTTTACGGCGTTGTAATCCGAAGCCATGCAAATTAGCCGCTGCCATCAAATCGAATATGCTCCTATACACACTGTTCCACACAGCTCATCTTCAACGCTGCCAAGATGAGCAGTGCAGTAGATTAGTTCCGATAATAAATAACAGGTAAACAGAAAAGTTCATTTGACTTTGTTGATTTTTATTGTTCGTAAAACAATTGATTGTGTGCCTTACACACAGGTATAAGTATTGTACATTTATAGGCATAAATTGCAGTACCGACGCTAGTTAAGACTTGTTCCATGGTATAAATAAGGTCTGACTGGATGAAAGAGTTAATTCGCAAGCTTGTATAAATAATAGGTGTAGTGCTATATATATGCGATTAGGACCCGAATAAGAAGAGAGAGAAAGGAAAGCGACCCCTGGGATCGCACCGTTTATAATTAGTTACCGTCTACAGCTACAGCTTACATGGGTTTGGTCGAGAGAAATAGATTTATTGTCAGTTTGCAGGCGAAACCAGAACCAAACCGCAGAACCGATAGCCCAAGGTTAGTGCACCCCGTTGCTGATGGTCGGCGTGCGCTCGTAGGTGCGTCGATGGAGCGAGTCCACGTCCTTCAGGTAGTACGTGCCGGGGAACAAGGCGGAGATGCTGCCCGTGGGCGTGTAGGGCGCCGCATGGTTGTTCTTCTCCCGCACTTCCATCAGCGCGGAGAACTGCTCGGGAGCAACCTTCTCGCGCGAGTTCAGCAGCGGCTGCACGTAGTCCAGCTTGGCGACGAACTGCTCGAAGGCAGCCGCATCCTGGGTCACGCTTATCGAGTACATCGATGCCGCCAGTCCGGATCCGTAGGAGAACACTCCGATCCGCTTGCCCACCAGCTCCTTGGCTGGCTCTCCAATCAGCAGGGAAACCAGGCCGGAGTACACGGACGGGGTGTACATATTGCCCACCTGGTTGGCCAGCAGCAGCGACTTCTTCGTCTTGCTGGCAAAGACATCCGCGGAATGCGTCAGGAAGGCCTTCTCCACGTCGCGATCGAAGTAGGTGTTCTCCAGGGTGGCGCTGTTGAACCGCTCCAGTCCGGCGAACTGCTTCGTCCGCTCCGCCTCGCTGCTCAGCAGGAAGTCGTTGAAGCTCAGGCGACCCACGGACTTCTGCACCAGCTTGCAGAAGGGCGTGTGGAACAGGATGGCGTCGAAGGTGCTCAGGCTGGCCGGCGCCTTGGAGCTATCCTTCTGCTGCTGGTCGAACTTCTTGCGGTACAAACGATAGCAGGTGTCCAGAGCCGACAGGTAGCACTGAATCGAGAGCTTTCCGTCCACCGTGGGATACTCGGAGCTGAGGTCCGGCTTGTAGAAGTCGTAGGCGTGCTCCATGTGCGTGGCACGTAGTCCGCGATCGAAGACCAGCGGCGCATTTGGACCCACCAGCATGGCCACGGCACCAGCTCCGCCAGTTGGACGCGCTGCGCCCTTGGCGTACACAGCGATGTCGGCACAGACGGCCAGGGCAAGGCGGCCATCCCAGCTGGAGGATTCCACCCAGTTCACGGCATTGAAAAGGGCCGCCGTTCCGCCATAGCAAGCATTTGTGGTATCGATGCCCTCGATGTCCGTGTTCCCGCTCTCGGCAAACAGCTGCATCAGCACCGACTTCACCGACTTGGACTTGTCCACGATGGTCTCGGTTCCCACCTCCAGTCGCCCGATCTCCGAGTGCTTCACGTGGTGCCGCTCCAGCAGGCGACTCACAACCGTCAGGCAGAGCGAGTTGACGTCCTCGCGGTCCGAGCAGAATCCCATCTTGGCCTGACCCAGGCCAATTGTGTACTTGCCCGCGGAGGCGCCGTCGAAGGTCTCCAGCTCCGTCTGATCCACGTACTGGGAGGGGAACAGTACCTCGATGGCGCGTATTCCAACATTTTGGGGCCAGTGGGATGCCATGATTGTTTCCGGTATCTATTTAATCCTGAGCTCTGCAAGAAAAATAAGTGGGATTGTTTAAGAAGGATGTTGGATTATTTGAAACCAATTTAATTTTTTGAACTCCTTGCTATTTCAAATCGAATTTATATTATTTTTATCAGAAGAGGTATTCATGAATTGTATCTACGACGCATTATTTTTAAACAAAATAGAGGTAACTGAAGGAGGATTTTCACAAAGTTTCACTTTAACTGAAGGTAGAACCCTCAAGTTTCGGCCACTTGTTTAGAGGTTCTTTGAGCAACACTGAGTTTAATTTAAGCAAAGTTCTCGATGTGGCCCGAATTCCACTGCCAATTGGCATTGGGGAAACTTTCTCCCCGCGCAATCACGGCGTATTTATAATGCTTACAAATTGGACGAGGGCAAAGACAACCTGTTGCACGCTCGAGCTGCGTTGGACGTGTGTAAGCCAGTGACTGTGAGTTGGGCTGAAGAAGTCATCAAAGTCTCGAAGGCAGTGGCGCCGCCTTGGGAGGGGGCCAACTGATTTCCCCGGCCAAGAGACCAAGAGCGGGAGAGAGAGAGCCGCGGCAGCGGAGAAAGTTTCCCTGCTCAGTCGAAGTCCACAAAAGAGAACAGTAAACCAAAGTAAAGTAAACCAAAACACACGCATCGCAATAAATGTAAGCCAAGAAGACGAGCCCAAAACTCGAGGGACAAGGGCGTGGATGCTGTGGCTACACATTAAGAAATTGAGTCGTTATGGAGCAATGATCCAGTTACTTAAAAGTAAATTTTAGTTGTAAAGCTACACCCTCTTTTATTTATTTATTTATTTATTTTATTTATCTAAAGCTAACAAATAGTTCTAAACTAAGAGCTAACTTATGGTTAAGAGCCATAGCAGCTAAGGCCTTCGGCTCGCTGTACATCAAGGTTTATAGATTCTGGGTATATACAATGTAATGGATTGAGGATAACTGTTTGTGCATTTTTAACTATTAGATGTTTACTTTATACATTTGTTAGCATTCATATTTTGTAAGAGATTCGGCAGCTGTCTAGGAATTTGAGGACTTTTTATGAGTTTTTATTTGTGCCACCCTCTTTTATTCTTTTAAGCAGTGACTTTTAGTTTCATGTTTTTAATTTTGCCGATTTTAATAGTTTTTATATCAAGTGCACATAATATTAAAAAAAAAAAACAAATCATGCTAATATCAATTAACTTCAGTTGCTAATAAGTGTAAATTTTGATTGTGTTGAATAATAAAGTCATATGCATGCTATTTTAATTTTACTAATAACAGGCTAAAAATAAACCTTAAATATGGCCTTAAAACATGTTGCTGTTATATATCTTTAAGTATTATTTCTAGTGTTTTTCTAGATATCACAAAACAACTACACATCCAGAAAAAGGTTAATCTTGTTTTTAAGAACCCAATCCTAGAACTAATGTTTCAGCCAGAACTCTTGATTTAAAAACGTTTGCTTAATTCGGATTGCCTTTCACACATTTATAGACTCTAGTTACCGTTAGATGAAAGTATTTGGGTGTTATTTTTTCTAAAATATAAATTAAACAACACACTTTTAACCGAAATCGGATTTATTTTGTTCGGTGGAATATTGTGGGACAGGTTGGGAGCGTCTTCACCTAAAAGTGGGTCATGCCCACAAAGCACTCTCCCTTCGCGGATCCCCCTCCCAAAAAAACAAAATACGCGTCTATATTGTATAACCGATAAGAGTGTGCGAGCGTGGCCCAAAGCCGAAAAGCGATTGACATATGTTTACCGTTACGGTTAGCACCTGCGACCACTGGCCTATTGACTATCAGTTTTCACTTTTCGGGCTGAAACTTCTGGGTTTGCAGGTTGGGGAAGCGCGAAGCTCACTCGATCGAATCTCTCAGCGGACTGACGGCCACTGAGGCACTGCAGTGGCATATGAACATGACCATGACGACGGAAGCGGAGAAGCAGCGGAGAGGCCTCAAGCCGCCATAAAACCAGCAAACAGCAAACAGAGACGAGAAGAGGCGCTGTAAGTCAATGCCAATTGCTGAAAGCGTTCGGCGAACAAATAGTGATCGTGCATAATTACGGGAAATATTTATCGCTTAGATACGGCCAGCGAGCACGAGCGTCTGGGGCTAAGAAGTCGCCGGAATATATAAATATTCGGAGATATAGCCGTAGCTGTTTCAATTGCTGTTGCGATGGGGTAAAGATCAAAGGCTGCCAATCGCTGATAAGCCCGGAACAAAGCGGCTTCCTGCAATTCACATACTCCACTGAATAGATAGGACATTTTTCCACTTTTAAAGTAATACACCCGGAAAAAATGGGTTAAAGATGTAAAGCCATTTATGCCGAAAACAACTTTGTGAAGTTTGTTTCTATATTACGGTAAAAATGATTTTTTGGACACTTATAAAGAAAGTACGTGTCTTTTGGAAAACTACCGAAAAATCACGCCACAATAAAATTTCCAATCTTGTCGATCTTTGTTATTATTTGATGATTAATTGAGGTATTCAAATTAATGCTGAAACATGTCTTCCATAATACGTAATTGAAATTATGGAAATGCTTAAGTGAAGACTATTTTAATTTATATTTAAGTTTAGATATACATACTTATGAAGGGAAGTAAAAATGTTCTAAATCAAATTATTTTATTGTGTTTGATTTAATTTAATTGACTTTTAGCTTAAATGCAGCTGGGCGTTTCCTAAACCAATATAGTTTGTATTATTCGTTATAATATAGAGATATTAGCTCTGATTAAATTTAGTTTAAAAAAAACTATTCATGCTAATTTGTAAGAAAATATTTTTTAACAGTTGTGGAAGTTAGAAATGAGTTAAAATTTCATTGGGTAAATGTATGATTCATTCTGCGACCTGCTATTTCATAAGGTTTTCAAAAATTTCAGCTCATTATTTTCTCCTGGTGCCTGTGTAAAATAAAGCTCACCCGCTGCGCCTAAACAGCCCTCGGGTTAAACTTAAATTATGGAAATGGATGCACTGCTTATGCGGAAAAGGAACAAAAGCCGGGGAAAGGGGCGCTGTTGTGGTTTTGTGTGCTTATTTTTAGCACTTCGAAATTGGAAAATATTTGGGTAAACACTGCCTGGAACTGTTGCGCACTCGGCTAATTGTTTGCTCTTGACTCACTGCTTTTTTTGGCTATAGAAAGGGTGTGGAACGGAGGAGGGGGAGGTCAAAGGTCTCGGTGTTCCCGAGAAAAACACACGTGTATTTGAAAACCGGGAGATAAGCACAGCTTAGGGGAAGGGTTATGAAACCAGATTAAAGCCGATTTGATAACTGAAAAGTCATAGATATTTCGAACGTTAAAACACCTGTCAACTAAAAAAACTCTCGGTAACAGGTTTTTATAATTAACAATTACTTATCCTAGTTAGCAGACATATTGCTCTTCCGACTTCTGGTTACATCAGCGGGCTAACCGGCAGCCAACCCCGGCCACCGCCGCTTTTCGCTGGAACACCGATTTGCGAAGAACACGCACTCACTTACTTGCTAATATTAATGGTCCAGGGCGGGCGATATGTTTAAAACTAAACTAATTCCGAATAAAATTAAGCAACGAAACTGCGGCACCACAGCCCGGCAGTGTTGAGAGCGTGCGCAACGAAACAGCTGTTCTCAGAGTCAGCTGTTTGGCCCGATCGCTATCTAACACTACCACCATCACGTGAATCTCGTGGACATTGTGAACTGTCACTTTTTTCGCCAGCGCTTTTCTCACCACACAATTTCGTTCGTATTTGTGGGTGGCGGCGGTCGATTTGCGCTGATTTTTTTGCAGAGAAAAACGCAGCTCGCTGTTTTCACATAGCACAAAAAGCACACTTGTTTCGTTTGCAACCAACCAGAGCCGCAGAAAAGTAAGTGCCAATCGTAAAAACCAAGGGAATCGGCGGTTTTCCACGTCGCCGTGAAAAGTGCTTAAGTTCTCCCCCATCGAAAATAACCCTGATTACTACATCGCAGTAAGTCTGCTGACCAAGGAAAGAGTGCAACAAATGTTCTATAATTAACAGAAACGAACGAGAATATGCGTTTTTGCAATGTGGCTAGCAGTTTTTTTAAGCAGTGTGACCCTGAAAATTAAGTTCGCAAGCTTGCATCGATTTGCTTGGATACAGATTCCCGCGAGTCAAGCGGATATATCTGGAAATATCCAGGTGGATATTGAGGGGGCGGGTTTTCGGAAAATTATGTGAAAAGTGTTTTGATTTTGTGCTGAAAACCCGTGAGCAGCGGAAAATTATCGATCGAAAAACTGTCATGTGACTGTCAACGAACAGCTGACTGGTCAAGAAAAACTCACCACGGCGAGGGGTGAAGAGAGCCGCTCAAGCTCTCTCTCTCTCCCCCCTATCAGCACAGTCTCTCTTTCTTGATAGCTCTCTCTGGGTAAACAAAACAAGTTGAAAATTTTTGTTTAAAAATTTAAATATCTCTTGGTTATTTTGCCGCAAAGCACGTACTTCGATGATTAATAGATCATATTGTGCGAAAACAAGCAAATACTTTTAGTTTCGCCGTGCGAGGACTAATAAATAATAGTATTGCGTGCAACAAGGACCTTGGTGAAAAGCGACCAAATATTATACATTAGATATACAAGCTCGAGGCGAAAGTCAAACATGGCCAATAAGGCGGAAATTCAAATGGCTAAACAGCTGCTGGAATTCCAGCGCGTGCTTATCTGCAAGGTCTCCTAGTCCGCCCACTCCTCCCCCAACCCACCCACTGACACCCCACACAACAAACCCCCGGCAAGCACATTATTATTAATTAATTTGGGCGCACACCCACTGCGACGAGGACATCGTCAAATCTTTGTTTTTCCCTTTGTCCTGTTTTTTTATTGTTTTCTGTTTTTGTCGCTGCAATTTCCTGTATTGACTGGTGGACTACCCCAACTGGATGTGAATGTGGATATGGGCATGGGATTGGCAGAGGGATAGGGATATCGATGAGGTCCTGGACCCCAGGCCCACTCCATTAGTGCCAGCCGTTGGCCAGTCAGACTGTCTCCATTCGCTTGGCGACGCACTGGCTGGAGCCCTCCGCCCATCGTCCCTCTATCTCCGATTTTCCCTTGGATTCGGGCCAATCCACGTCACCAGTTCAACATGGCAGCATAACAGTCGGTGACTCCTCCTCTTTTTAGTCCTCCCTATCTATTTTTCCCTTTCGTCCCGCAGCAATTTGACTTTCGCTGCTAAAAATAAACATACGTAGTTGTGCACTGGAAACAATATACGAGTGTATACAATACTTCTATTGTTTAGTTCTACAGCTAAATGGCAAGTCACCTGTGATGTAATATCGAATAAAAGATAATGCGGATAGGCATCGAAACATGCTTTGTTAATTAACATAGGCAAATTTTGCAATTAGAACTTAGAAATGTGAACTTTCATTCGTAGATAAAAGATAATTATATTCACATATCAATTTCCTGTCATTTCACATGTCATCATGTGTTAAAATATTGATTTTTCAGTATGTAACTTTATTTGTGAAGGAAAAAATTCGATTTTTACAAATCAAAATTAAAGTATTTTTCGTTGAGATTTCATGATATAATAAAATATTTATTTAAAAAATGTTAACCTGTTTATTTGATTAAAAAACAAAAAGATTTCAAGACACATTTTAAACTTGTATCTTCATTTTAACAAATTATAGGAGAAACTGAAATTATATTGCCATATATGGTTTTATTTAAAGTATGCTTTAGTAGAAGGAACGTATTATGCGAGGTTTTGTAGTGATAATGTTCAATACCTAAAGTGTTTGATATTCAATTTCCTTGAAAAATAGGACTTTTAAATGTTACTGATCGCGTTGTCATGTCATTATGAACCATTAATTTCGGAGATTAATCATATTTATCCAAGGTGATACATTTTTTTTGGCGTGTTTCCGTTTCCCATTTACGATTTCCATGTTGTCTGTTGCCAGGCTTGTTACTCCCGCCCCTCAGTAGTTATTGTTGCTTTGTTTTTCGACGCTTCCTGGGCGAGGACAATGCACTGCCTTGACTTTTGCTGGGGAATGGGGAATGATTTGGAGCCGGAGACGGAGCTTGGCTGTTGTCACTCCTTGGACTCGTGTTATGTTTCGTGTCTCTTTGTGAAGGCCATCATGGTGGTTATGTAATAACAGTGCCGACCATAGGCCGAAATTGGGTAAAGTTAGATTTATATCTCGTGGCGTTTGCTGTGTGATTACTCATACGCCCTGTGGCAGGAGCAAACAGAGGAGTAGCGGCGCTAGGAGTCAGCGACACTTACCCAAATTGAGCACTCGTTTTGGTTTTTTGGCCATGGCGCCTCCAGCCCCCAGCCTTCCGTGCCTTCCGTGCGGCTTCGTCATCAAGCGATTTCGGATACGGACGGACTCGGGTTCGGTCGACGAGGCGAGTCGAGTCGAGTCGGATCGCAGATACGTCGGCCTTTCGCTTTTCCGACTTCCACGGCATCTGGTCGTTGTGGCAGCACTCATTTGGCAGCGAACCCCCGACAGAGAAGCACGGCAGCATGTGGCAGGAGCGGAGAAAGTAGGAAAAACAAACGGAACAGAGAGTAGAAAACCCCAAAAACGGCGGTCAGGGGAAAATGCCAAAAAACCTGGTGGAAAAGTTCCTGACCATTCTGTTGAGACGCAAGGAGTGCTAGGATCAAGTGTTTGTGTAAGCAAAGAGCTCTGTACATACGTACACCAACCAAAACACAGACAAACTGGCGCTGGACTGTCTGGCGCCAGAGTTCGTGGTTGTGGTCTTTCGGGCCGAGACTCCTTTGTCTGGGGAAAACTGCACTTTTCACGGTTCGATCGCGCATATTTGTATAATTGCTCGAAGGCCGCTGCCAATTAAATTTGCAACCGCAGGAACTCTGAAGTCATGCAATCGATAGGAGGAGTTACATAATTTAGGAGGGGGTAATCGATTAGCCAAGGTCACAGACAAATTGACTTCGACTTTTGCTCATTCCCCTTTTCTGTTTTACTCCCTCTAATAGCCATCAAGATGATGTCCGAATACTGGATTATCTCGGCCCCTGGCGACAAGACCTGCCAGCAGACGTTCGACACGATGAACAACCTGACCAGCAAGCAACACAACCTGTGCAATAACTACAAGTTCCATATACCAGACCTGAAGGTAAGTTTGGACACCAAGATCAGTGATCAGGAAGGGAGAACCTCTTTCAAATTTAACAGAAGTGCTTACCATTTTTAAAAGACTAAGATACATTTAACGTTAATATTATTCTAATCGATGTTTTATAACTTCAGGTGGGCACCCTGGACCAACTGGTGGGTCTCTCCGACGACCTGGGCAAACTGGACACCTATGTGGAGCAGATCACCCGCAAGGTGGCCAACTACCTGGGCGAGGTGCTGGAGGATCAGCGGGACAAGCTGCACGAGAACCTGTTGGCAAACAACAGTAAGTCGTCTGCCTGCCACTATTAAGTTGTATTAGCCTAGCTTAGTCTAGCTTAGCTTAGTTCCGTTTAGTTTAGTTTAGTTTAGTTTTAGTTGACGTGGTTAGGTGATGCCTGTTCCGAGTCACGAATCTATATCGTTTTGGTTCTTTAGTTATTTTATAAGCAGTTCTTCTGACCGTAGACACTGTTGAATCGGAATGCTCAGATATAATCGTACCATGTGTATTGCCCACATCTATTCTTTACCCACAACTGTTCTGTACTAACTAACAACCAGTGAGATTAAAATCGAAATCCTCTCTTCTCGGCCGCCGATTGGCTGTTTAGAAGTCGGTTACTATGGAATGTTTTGATCTATCTATGTCTCTCTCTGAGAAAAGTCCAACCTAACTAACACGAACCCCGTCTATTTCAATCACGATTTTTACATACGTTTAAACTAGTTCAAGATTATGCGAGAAACAGATTTAAAAACTAATCGATTTTCAGCCGAAACCCCCAGGCTTTAAACTTATTTTGTTCGACTTTCTCGACCCTTTGCGTTTTTCGTTCTCCAACTTTATTTTGTTTTACACTTCTGGGTTCTCTTTTGATTTTGATTTGATCTGTTCTGTTGAGTATTATTTTGATTTATGTTGAACTCATGCGCACTATCATCACCACTGAAAAGAAGGATATTACGTAGGCAACTAGCTCGAAATTGTCTGAAAAGATGTAGCACCATCCAACAACAATGGAATTAAAGTTTGCGGCCAACCAAAAACTATAAAAGAGTTGAAATGAAAACGAAAGAAAAAGAAATTTACCGAAATTAGCCGAATGGGAATTTGCGTTGTTTATTTTGTGTTGCGTTTGTTGTACATTTTAATACGCACCGACCTCTCACGCTATATAAATCTACAACTATACTATACTTACATATACTATGCCAGCTGAGACACACACAGGTACACACACACACCAGCGTATTTTTGGCCCCGTTCAAGGGCGCCCAAATCCCCGGTCAATTACTCCGTGCTCTCGGTCGAAGGTCGCCCCGAAAAAAAAAAAATAATAATAAAATTTATATATAATGACACTATGCCAAACAATAGAAAAACACTCACACACAATGGAGGAGTACAGTGAACACTTTGTATATTTTACATAAATTGTTGTACGTTTCTTTTCGGTTGTCAATACGATTGAGTTGTTTGTGGTTTTACGTCATTTGAAAGCCCATTAGTTTTTAAATCATTCACCGCAGAAAAAAAAATAGAACGAGAAAACCGAGACGATGAAGAAAAGCTAATGTGTAAAGATATAGACCCATAAACTGCATATATATATACTATATAAATACTTGACTATAAACTTTTGCGCGAGTGTCGTTCCCTCATACTTATCTTTTAATTTTCTAATTTCGAGTTTACATGTACTATTTATTTGTAAAAATAACTATGTAAGTGCGTGCGTGTAAAAGTTGGCCAACTTTTGTGCTGTACATATATGTATCTCTATATAGACCTTTGTAACTGTTGTGTGTGTGTGTGCCTGGTTGTGGAGTGTGTGTGTGTGTATCTGTGTTGTCTCATTTCCTCACCTGCATCGATCCGCTTGGAAAACGCTTGTTTCTGTACCATTTACCACCGCAAACCCACTCACCCAAACGCAACTGGAGTGCAGAGATGCACTCCAAAGGACCCTTTCTCCTCGGCTGCGTGTGTGTGGGTGGGCCCGTGTCTGTGTGTGTGTGTTCCTGTGCACCTGTTCATGCGCCTTTCACATCAACCGCATTTCGCTAATTGGGAAAGATGGAAGATACTCGCCATTAGAGCTAATTGGTAAAGTGTGTGGAGAACACGAAAAATATCGACAACGAAACGCTTTTACACTGCAATGAAATTAGAGTACCAAAATGAAAGCACAAAATGAGACGCAAACATCTATCAGCCCCCGATTACATTTTTTGTTCCACTGTTGTTCATGGGATGCCATTCAGTTCCGATTCCTTTTCGCACACAAAACTCTGAAAACTACAAAGCCCAATCTGCACACATGAGTTTCAAATTATTTACATTTTCCCATATGATTTTTCTTATTTATTTAAACGATATTTACGAAAACGATAAGTACGATTTTGGTTTCGCTTTTGGTTGATGATGTCGATAGTCCGGTTTTAGGGTTACCATACAATCAGCAGTTGATCTTGAGATTGTGTAGGCAAGTCGTGAGGTCTAGCCCCTAAATGTATGCTATATAGTTTTACTTTTAATTTATTTCGACCGTCCCGCCCGGAAATCGAGCCGAAATCGAACCGAAAATCCTAGCTAAGACTAAGTCTGCAACCGAATCTAAATGCCTTGTGTTGTATTGTCTGTATCGGTAATTGAATCACCACCACCAACTGAAAAATCAAAAACACGAAACTCCATCTAAAATCGAACCCGATCGTCACCATCCGAATGAATCCTGAACTGCCTCGAATCTCGAATCTCGCCACCCGAATGAACCCCGAATGAATCTCGCGCGGATGCAGGTCCTGGGCCACCCGACGACAGCATGCCGTGTCGCCACCACCAGCGCATCAAGCATCTCAGCCTGCGACACCAGCGAAAACACCAGCACACGCACCACCAAAACAAACCCCAACACTATCATCACCACCACCATCACCACCAGCTGCCGCAGGACCTCAAGGGTAAATCCGCCGTTTCCTGTTCTCCGCCCGCGAATGTGCCTGCACCTCTACCCCTGCCTCTGCCCCTGCAACTCTCGCCCGCCTGTGCCTGCGATGCCAGCGATGCTAGCCCCGTTCCGGCCAGGGAACCAGGATCCCTATCCGGCGGCAGCCTGACTAACCTGTCGACGACGGGCCACGAAGCGGAGCCGGAGTTCGATGCCTGTCCGTGCGACGAGTGCTTCGCCTGCGCCCCGCCCAGCACCAGTGCCACGGCGAGCACGCTCCTGGCGGACGAGTGCTACTCGCAGACCGCCTCCTCCATGCTGAGTGCCACCCGCTGTGCCCTGTCCACGGTGGCGGCAATAGCCACTGGCAGTGGGTTGGGTGGCGGCGGTCCGAGCACCAGTGCCGCAGCCGCTGCCGCCGCCTCCTCCGCGTCCTGCTCCTCGGCATACTTCTCCACGTCGGCGCCAACGACCAGCAGCTCGGTGCACAGCAGCATGTCGCGCTCTAACAGCAAGCGGCTGAATAACAACACTTGCAGCATCAACAATAACAAGCTCAGCTTCCGCAGCGGCAGCCATTTGAGCCAGTTGCACCTGGCGGCCACGCATCCGCAGCATCAGCAGCAGCAGCCACATCACCCGCATCCGCATCAGCATGCCAATCCTCTGCAGTCACCCACGCAAAAGTCCGTGTCGGAGGACGACGAGGGCGATGCGGGCCATGCCCCCGAAGACGGGGAGACGGACGAGACGGATCCGAAGAGTCCGCACAGTGTGCAGTCCGATCTGTCGGACACCTTCGACTGGTGGTTCAATAAGCCCAAGCGTAACTCTAAGAAGAGCAGGTATCTTATCATCGCATTACCTACTTTGTAGAACGTTGCCAAATCGCCAGCACCCCAGACAAAATAAATCAAAACAAATAAAAAAAAAACAGAAAAAGCCAGTCACCCGCTGTCATCCCGCTAAGCTAAGCCAAAAAAGAAAAAAACACAACCACCCAATACAAAAACAAAACACCAAACACGCTGTAAAAACACAAGATACAACACTACACTGAAACAAATGGCGCACCCGCTTTGCCTGCCCTCATCCAAAAACCAAAATCAAAACACAAGCAAACCACACCACAACCAATATTAAAACCCAGAAAATCCATAAATGTTTGAGTTGATTAAGTACCGAGAACCGAGTCAAATGCAATAATAATGTATTTCTTTTTTAAATCACTCCCCATTCGACCATCGCACATTGGCCACCCGATCACCGATCACCAATTGCCATTTTGCCATTTTGCCACACTGCCATTTCGCAATACCACAAATGACAGTGCACAACAGTCACACGAGACACCAAACCCACAGCAACAGCAACCGCAAAACCAACACCAAAACCAAAAACAACAGACGCAACAGCAACATGCAACACCAATGACTCCCCCACTGCAACAGCAACACCCAATCCAACAGACACAACAGCAACACCTATCCAAAGCAATGACATTTTGGCATCAAGCATCGACCACACCGCGCTCTAGTTATCGCTCTTTCTTCAATTCTCTTGCCGATCAAATTTATAGCAAACGTTCTACACCGAGTCAATTAAATATAAACAATGGATTTAATTTAACACCAACTCATAGATCGTCTCCAGTGAGTAGTTGTTGTGGCAGTAGTAGCCAAGGCCGATCCAGTCCGGACACGGATCCCGCCGAGCCGCCCGAGTTTCCGCTGAGTCCAGGTTAGCATGCCTGGGTTGGTCTGGTCCCCATCCGAACCGACCCACAATCCTATCCACCTTTGATCAAATCCGATCTCTTGATCGACGTTGACATATACTACTATAAGTGTACATGTTGATGTTGCCGTTGCTCTCCGTTTCCTTTCGTTTCGTTTATCCTTCTAATTTTCTCTGATTCTGATTCTGATTCTTATTCTGTTTCTGATTATGATTATAAGATTCTGATTTCCTTTATTGTTTTCGTGAGCAACTTGATGTTTCCCAAAAACCACACACCTCTCCTACACCACTCCACCTTCTTTGATCGTCGTCCACTCTCGGGAGTAACTTGCAATTTCAGACGAGTGTTTCTTTTCTATCTTTTAGTTGATGCAACTATTTTGCCCAGTGATCGTATCGAAGTTCTTCCTTCTTTCGTCACTTTTGATTTGCCTTTCTCTCCTTTCTCTGTGGTATTTGCAAACGCCTTTTGTTTGCGCTTCGTTTTGCTTTCTCGCGATTTGACTATATATATATAGTACACGGATTTGTTGATTATTTGTACCAGTGTAAAAGTGTAAAAGCGATTATGTTGTTCTTTCAGTGTACGCTCACCAAATCACCAAATGTTGTTCTGCGCTCCACATCATTACAGCCACGATTAACGCCGATTCCCATTAAGCTATATTCAACTACCTCACCCAAAAATAATCACAAAAAATATTCTAAATACTGCAGCTTTGCCCAGCGCCAATGTTGATCAATCTCTGAGTTATTGTTCGCTTTGTTCGCATTTTAATTTGTTCTTGAGTGTCTATTATATATAATTATCACACAGCATTATGTTTTCAAAGTCCAGCTAACGCGTTTTGCCGTGTGACACGAAAGGTATTTCCAATTGCGACTAATATGCGTAGCCCCCAAATCCCCGTAATTCCCGTAGCCCCTGTAAATGCATCCCAAACTGTTCGTTATTCGATGTTTCTTATAACTCCTAACCTTTTTATCCTGTAAGTGTGCGTGTGTGTGTCTGAGTAATGTGATGTTATGTGTGTCCAATCTAATAAACTAACCAGCATTTTTCAGTTACCTTATTTACTTATACAACTTTATTTATATAACTTTACTTTTAAATAGCTTATCAGCCTAGTTTCCTTCAAACTAATTCTATACAACTTTTAGATCAATTACTATGAATTTTTCAATTTCGTTTCGTACTTAAACATTAATTGGACAACCCGTTTGTTCTGCTAGTCAACTAAGTGAACGATAGAGAGTCTTATGGTATCAGATTTCGCTAACACTTTGTTCTACGAATCAAAACAGCCGAACTGCCGCAGTACTTGACCCGCTTCCAATGGGATATGGCCAAGTACCCGATTAAGCAGTCGCTGCGCAACATCGCCGACATTATCTCCAAGCAAATCGGCCAGATCGATGGTGACTTGAAGACCAAGTCCCAGGCCTTCAACAACCTCAAGGGAAATCTGCAGAACCTGGAAAAGAAGAAGACGTAAGTGGGAATAAAAACTTAACAAAATCCCTTTTGAAATTATTTATTTCGTATTGCAGTGGCAGTTTGCTGACCAGGAATCTGGCTGATTTGGTCAAGAAGGAACACTTCATCCTGGATTCGGAGTATCTGACCACCCTGTTGGTCATAGTCCCCAAGTGAGATAAACATCCTATGGTTTTTTTAAGCTCAAGATGCTAAAGATTTCTTTGTTTCACAGGGTCATGGCCAACGACTGGCTGACCAACTACGAGAAGATCACCGACATGATTGTGCCTCGCTCGTCGCAGCTCATCAAAGAGGACTCCGACTACTGCCTCTTCAACGTGACCCTCTTCAAGAAGGTGGCCGAGGAGTTCAAGCTCCATGCCCGCGAGCGCAAGTTCATCGTGCGTGACTTTGTCTACAACGAGGAGGAGTTGGCCGCCGGCAAGAGCGAGATGACCAAGCTGATAACGGACAAGAAGAAGCAGTTTGTGCGTAACCATCCTAAAAACTATCTTTTGGGAAAGTTGTTCTAATAATAATTCCTTTGCAGGGTCCTCTGGTTCGCTGGCTGAAGGTGAACTTCAGCGAGGCCTTCTGCGCCTTGATCCACGTGAAAGCGCTGCGCGTTTTTGTGGAATCTGTGCTGAGGTAAAACATTATATAGATTGCTAAAATGTTTGTAGTTACCAATGCTTTGTTTAACCCACAGGTACGGTCTGCCCGTCAACTTCCAGGCCATCTTGATCGAGCCCAACAAGAAGAGCGTGAAGCGTCTGCGCGATGTGCTGAACCAGCTTTACGGTCACCTGGATGGCGCCTCCGCCGGCGGTGCTGTCAGCAGTGCTGATGTCAGTGTTCCTTGATCCCCATAAAATATGCCAATATTATTTATAATAAACTATTTTATATCTTACAGAATGTGGACATCCCCGGTCTAGGCTTTGGCCAGTCCGAATACTTCCCCTATGTGTTCTACAAGGTCAACATCGACATGGTGGAGCAGGCCAAGGTCTAAGATCGCCAGCCCGCCGAACCCAACACTGCATACATCCAGCCACACAAAATACACTTTACTACAAAACAACCAACTTAAAATCAGCTGAACCATTCGCAGACATCTAATGAAACAAAATTAATAGATTACTTTAAATAATTTTAGTCATTGTTATCTAATTATTGTTGTTATTTATGTTGCGCGTTGCCGATATCCATTTCAAGTTCTCTTCCGGTTCGAGAAATCGAGACGCGCGTCAACAAACCGTAAAATCGTTTGCAATCATCCAAGATCTTGTAGAACTTCCCGATTGTTCTTTGTCCTTCTTCAGTTCGCAAAACAGTATTTTATGTTTTTTCTTATGCCTTACTATGATTATGATATGATGAATGAACAGAGTGTTTAACCCGTAGCCAAATTTACACACATTGTCGCTAAAGCCTCGGCTTTACTTCTCCTTTTTGTTTGTTTTTTGGTAGCTATACAATAAACTTTGCGTTACATTTTGTTTTACAAACATTTCGTCTCGTTTCGTGCTTGGTATCTGTATCCGTGACTAACAGCCAACATACAAAAACATGCCCAAAATAAATTTAAGCCCAAAAATGGTGTCGCAAATTGCAAGTTATGAAACTAATTGCGCTAACAAATTTCCGATGCAATGGTACGTTTCGATAAAGACAAACTATTAATTAACGCAAGTATTGTATTTATAAATGTTACCTAGATATCGAAAGTTTATAAACAAAAGCCCGGCGCGCTGTTTGCATATTACTAATCGCTGAGAAGAACCGCTCCAGCATTTCGTGGTTCTGCCAATTTCGTTTAACCCCGCGAGTGTGTTAACCCACTAATAAACAACCAGCAGCGATCGAGGGTCGACCACATGAGATATGAACAATAATATTCTATTCGTATGTAAAGTTTTTCAGTTTTCCTATTGCTAAATCTAAAATGTGTACCGAGTTAAGCGAAACGTGAGATACAGTATCTATATATATTTTAAAGTTATGCATACTATGTGTAAAAAGAAACGAAAGAAACCATGTAAATGTCATTGCGTTATATAAGGTGCAATTAAGTCATCCTTGTAAATAATTATAAAGAAAGAAAGACATTCCCAACTTTGTTTTGTTATCAATTGATTGGATTGGAGCAGAGTCCAGTTCGCATTTATTACTCAATACTTTACTTTATGCTTACGTCTAAGGTATCAAACGCGTTTTGGACTTCGACTTTTACAGATTTCATTCGAACTACATTGCCTCAAAATATTATAAAGAGTGAAATAATTAAAAAAATAATTGTATATGTGTGGTAATGATGTATAATATAAAACAATTTCGATTGAATTCTGTAAAAGTGAAACCCTTAAATATTTTAATTAATTCTCATCAAGTGCTAGATTTCCTGTTTGGGCTTGTTTTGCGAGGAGGCGTTTCGCGATATCTTCAGGATATTCGGGGGCTTAGGCTGATTCTTGTCTGCCTCGTATTGGGCGCGATGCAATCGCTGGCGATGCTTGTACATATTGGCGCTGCAGAAGAACGTCATCGGGCAGTTGGGGCAGGTGTAGAGTACTTCCCCAGTGTGCGTGGATGTGTGTTCCTGCAAGGGATATTAAACAGTGGTTAACGAACTGGTGTTATGAGCGTATCTCAAACTCACCTTAAGCTCTTGTGGCCGTTTAAAGGCCTTCTCGCACATGGTGCACTTAAATTTGCGCTCACACTCGTGATTGTGGTAGATGTGACGCCTCAGAGCCCTCGCATTCGGTGACACCTTTGCGCAGATGTGGCAGCGATGCTCGCCCGCACTTTCCACATGGATACTCTTCATATGCTGTTTCAAACCCGTCATGCCTTTCAGCCAGGCGCCGCAGATCTGACACTGTTTAAGCTCCGGTTCCGGGCGCGGTTTGTCCGAGTGCATAAGCTCCTGATGCTTCTTGAGGATGATCTTGGTGCGCATCTGCTTGCCGCACTTGTCGCAGATGATGGTGCTCTCCGGGTCATGCATGGAACTCATGTGGTTCTTTAGCTTGCGCTCGGTAAGGAATCTGTTGGAAGAGGGTAAAAACCAATTAAGTACAATAGTGGTATTCGGATAGGCACTAAACCCACTTCTTATTGCACTCGGAACAGGTGAATTTGAACTCCGACTTGGGCACATGCTTGTTCAGTTTGTGGTAGTCGATGGCGGTCTTACTGAGGAACGTTTTCGAGCACAGATCGCAACTGAAGGTCAGCTTAATGGCCGGGTCCAAGTGCACCTGCTGATGTGACTCCAGGTGCCGTGAGTTCTGGAATGACTTCTCGCACACGCTGCACTTAAAGTGGTCCGGGTTCCAGTGGACGAGGACATGTTCGGCCAGCACTTTGCGCTGCGTAAACTTGCGGCCACAGCACATCATGTAGCCGGGATCCACCTGGTGGGTCAGTCGGTGGTGGCGTTGCATCTCGGTAAAGTTGTGCACCAGCAGATTGCAGATGGCACATGGTAGCACGCTGGTGAAGAACTTTGCAATTATGACATCGTACTCCTCCTGTTGTTTCTTGCGCTGCTCTAGCAGTTCACGGGACATGCGCACTTTCGGCTCCGCCGGTTTCGTCCGCTTCTTGTACTTTTTAGGTCGCACCACTGTTCTCTTTGGCAGCACGGCAAACTCCTGTTTTCCGGGTTTTTCCAGCTCGAAGTCCGAGTCTGAATCGAAGCCGTCACTGCCTCCATAGTTGTCTTCGGAGGAATTATCGCTGGGCACCAGGCCATCTTCAAGGTTGCACGAGAAGTCGGGATCCGTGGTCTCGTCCATGAGTTCGTCAAGCTCTTCTGCCTTAAGCTCCATTGGGATGTCTTCTTTTGGTTTCGGAAGAATGGCAGTTGCGGTGTCCGATTTGCGGGGACGACCGCGACGCTTTTTGGGCGGCGCAGGCTCTAAAAGGGCTTCGTCAACCTCTTCGTCCTTTTCCTTGTCCCCAGAAGGTGCTTCCTCTGCCTTTAAACGCTTTCTCAAACGTCTGGCTGTACCTTCCAACTGGTCTTGAGTAACTTGTGTGCTGGTTGTGCTTTCCAATATCTCAATGCGGGGTAAATGGTCCAGCTCGTGTTCCTCTATCTTGATCTCCGGGTAGAAGAAGTTGCGCCCGGCAAGTTCCGCCGGCTCCTGCACCCTTTCCTCCTCTTGGGTTGGCAGTTTTGAAACTTCCGGGAAGGATGAAATTCCCTGTGTGAGAGGATCATCCTCCATAAGCAGAACTTTCGTTTCCTGCAAGGAGTTCTGTGCTGCACTAACGAATTCATGCAAAGTGTGAAAGTCAGAGACAGTTTTCCAGCAGCGTCCGCAGATCCTTTCGTGACTTTCCTTGGAGATCTGGAAGGGAAAATGCTGGTTGACGATCCTGGTCACCTCCAGTTGGACGGCTCGCGGTGAGTGCACCTCGATATAGTCCCCCATCATGGCTGAATACTCGCACATGCAGAGTAAGCAGCACGGAGCGGAATCTAGTAAAAATAGTTAAATTGTTTTGTTAACAAGTAAGCATCATTGCTTGGGCTGGAATCGCTCTTTTCCGAGCGATTTCCGCACTGTTTAACACTTACCCATTTCGATGAATAGCCTTTGTTACAGGGAATGAAAAGCCATTTATTGTTTGGGTCGAAAAATGCAACTTTTTATTTACTAATTTGTTTAAACTTTAAAGCCGCAGTGCACTCAAAACGCCAGCTGTTTTTTGTACCAGAGCAAGCGGTGGACACTTAACAGCACTGGTGATATCGATATACCCAATATGGCTTGCCAGCTTCAAAAGCTGGTCACTCTACGGATTTATTGCATTGAATATTGTTTGTTATTAAACTGACGATTTTATGAAAATTAGGCTTCCAACGCGTTGGGATTGCGTTCTTCCGTCATAAAACATAAATCCAAACACTCCAGTACTCGAAGAAACCCAGCAGCAGGTGAGAAAACAAATCAATATAGAAGAGAACCTATTAGGCAGTTGTTTACGTTTCAACATTCATTTTTCAGCATGTCGGATTCAGAGAAAGTTGTGGTAAGATTAAATAATATACACTAGGCTTACAAATACTGATGCTACTTAATGACAGCAGTCTGAGGAACAGCCCAATGTGGAGCCCAGGGAAACCATTTGGTATACTATAGAACAGCTTGTAAAGATGATTGTGTGTCCAGGTTGTGGAATATCAATGGTATCGTTCAAAAACCGTTTTGCCCACGTCAAGAAGTGCTTCAGCATCAAAAGACGAGGTCCTTTATACAGAATTCATGGGTATGTTGAGTGCAAGTGCGGCTTACTCATAGCGGACTCAGCAAAAGCAAAGAAACTGCATATTTGTTTTGTAAGTAACTATACAAAAAAAGCTTCACAAACTAATATATATCGTTTTATCCAGGGTAAATTTCGACCATGCAAACCGTTCTTACCCCTAGAGCCAGAAAAGCCTCCGGTTGATCCGTCGCCTCCTGAAAAAATACGTTCCCCGTCCAAGGAAAGCCAGCCTGGGAATACTTCAGAACAAGCTGCTTTGCAGCCCAGGAGTAAAACGTGGATTCGCAATTTCATTTCCCCTATCAAGCAAAGGGAAGTCCCATTCCTGGACATTTCCGGTTTAAGTGAGCCTGAACCCAGTCCGGCGTTAAAACCGCGTGTGCGTAATTTCGACAAACCTTTCCGAATGTCTGCTCCCAAGGATATCTGTGTTTATTCTATAATTCGAAGAAATGGAGCTATCTCAGTGACTGGCAGATCTATCCTGAAGCAGCGGGGAGCTAACGAAAACATTGTCTTAATTAAAAGGCGAAAACTGCGACTGCCTACAGTTGCAGCAGCTGAAAAGTCATGACATTTACTTCAAACAAATGTAGATCTTAATTATTAATTACAGAAAACGTAAGCAATTACTTTATTATTAAATGTATATTTAGTAACTTAATGTAAGTGGAACGTTTTCCTATTAAAAACTTCTGCTTAACTTAAATAAAAGAATTGTGAATAGTATACTTTTAAGTTGAAATACAGTGCAAAATATTTTGCAATATTTTTTGAAAGGAAAATTCGTGAAATATTTTGAAACCCTTGTATGATAATATGACTTCATTTTGAATACAAGAAAACCTTTCACTTTACAAATGGTTTATTGCTAGTTATACAGAAAGAAATATATGTTGCCTATTTTTTTCTCTTCGGATTTTATTAAGCAGCTAAGTAAAACAATTTTTATATTCTCCAATTAGTGAGATCTAAAAGTATTGCAATTTAAACAAACACAATTAAAGTCATAAACGCTTTTTTAAATTTTGCGCAAATTTTATTTAGCGGAGTTTGTGGGTTAGGTGCGCCCGTTTTCCAAGGCCTGGTCACACTTTCCCCCAAGCAAAACAATATAATCCACGTAAAAAGGTTGTTCTCCCGGTGTTTATTTATAAATTATCCGATGTCAGCCACCAGGACCCAGGAATATGATTGCACCACGAAGTGTAGGTACCGCCAGCATGGAAATACTATCACCGCAGCACTGACAAAGCGCTCTATTGACCACCAAAAGCTGGCGGCTTTTATATTTAAGACATGCGGAAATTTTGCCAATATTCTAGACGACCTGGTAAGGTGGTGAAATTGGAAATTCCATAGAAGGTCTTTTATCTTTGCCTTTGCAGGGCCGCTCGGCGGTACACATGTCCGCCTCCACTGCGCGCTATGAGATTCTGGAGTGGCTGCTCAACCACGGAGCCTATATTAATGGCCAAGACTATGAATCGGGGAGTAGTCCTTTGCACAGAGCCCTGTATTATGGATCCATAGATTGCGCTGTTCTACTGCTGAGATACGGGGCCAGTTCGGAGCTGCTAGACGAAGACACCAGATGTCCACTGCAGGCCATTTGCCGGAAGTGCGATGATGATGACTTTGTCACGGAATCCCAGTGAGTGTAACAAATAATTGAGATTTCTAGCTTATTAACATATGTGCATCTCTGTAGGGACGATGTCCTGGTTTGGGGTTCCAACAAGAACTATAATCTTGGTATTGGCAACGAGCAGAATACCAATGCTCCACAGGCGGTGGACTTCTTCCGAAAGTCAAATTTGTTTTTGGAGCAGGTGGCTCTGGGAGCCTACCACAGCCTGTTTTGCGACAAGAAGGGACACCTGTATGCTGTTGGTCATGGTAAAGGCGGACGGCTGGGCATCGGAGTGGAGAACAGCCTGCCGGCGCCAAAGCGAGTGAAGGTTTCCTCAAAACTGGGTGACGACTCCATACGGTGCATCAGTGTCTCCCGTCAACACTCTTTGGTGCTCACGCACCGCTCGCTGGTTTTCGCCTGCGGCTTAAACACAGACCATCAGCTGGGAGTGCGTGATGCAGCCGAGCATCTCACCCAGTTCAAGGAAGTGGTCGCCTTGCGTGACAAAGGTGCCAGTGATCTGGTGCGCGTGATTGCCTGCGATCAGCACTCGATCGCCTACAGCAACAGGTGTGTCTACGTCTGGGGGGCCAACCAGGGCCAGTTTGGCATCAGTGCCAACACGCCGAATATTATGGTGCCCACTTTGGTGAGTTATTGCCATGATAACGGCTAGCAGTATCTAAGGGTTTATCCTGCAGATCAAGCTGCCTGCCAAGACGACCATCCGTTTTGTGGAGGCCAACAATGCAGCCACGGTAATTTACAATGAGGAAAAGATGATTACTCTCTACTATGCAGACAAGAGTAGATACATCAAGACGCCCAAGTGAGTTTACTTACTAAAATTAACAGGCCATCATATAAATTTGCAACCTACTAGCTACGAAGATCTCAAAAGCGTGTCGGTCATGGGTGGTAACCTAAAGAACTCCACCAAAGGTTCCGCCGCTGCTCTCAAGCTTCTGATGCTCACTGAAACCAATGTGGTGTATCTCTGGTACGAGAACACCCAGCAGTTTTACAGGTAAGCAGGTTTAACTAAGCTAAGCAAGGTTTAAGCGTTTTAAACTTTAAATATCCCTTTACAGATGCAACTTTTCGCCCATACGCCTGCCGCAGATTAAGAAAATCCTTTACAAATGTAATCAGGTGATGGTCCTGTCCCAGGATGGCTGTGTTTATCGAGGGAAGTGCAATCAGATCGCTTTGCCCGCCTCAGCAATGCAGGAAAAATTCAAACCGAACTTGGACATCTGGCAGAATAATGATCAGAACAAAACAGAAATCTCCCGGGAGCATGTGATCCGTATTGAACTGCAGCGGGTCCCGAACATTGATCGCGCCAACGACATATTTTGCGATGAGGGCTTCTCTTCCTTTGCCGTTCTGCAGGAGTCGCATACCAAGTACTTCCGAAAGCCAACACTGCCACGCAGAGAGCACAGCTTTAAGAAGCTGCTACACGAGACAAGCGACTGTGATGCTGTCCATGACGTTGTCTTCCATGTGGATGGCGAGAAATTCGCGGCTCACAAGTTTATTATCTACAGTCGGGCACCTGGACTCAGAGAGCTCATTCGTTGCTATGTGGATAGGGATATTTACTTAAACATGGAGCATTTAACTGGAAAGATGTTTGAGTTGGTGCTGAAGCACATTTACACAAGCTACTGGCCAACCGAAGATGGTAAGAAAGGAATAGTTTTCGGAAAAGTGCATAATTGAACATTTTTGATTCTCTTATCCAGATATCGACTGTATTCAGCAAAGTCTTGGACCAGCAAATCCCCATAAACAAACTCTCACCTGCAAAATGTTTCTTCCTCACCTTGAAAAGTTTCAACTAGTCGAACTGGCCAAGTATGTGCAAAGCTATATCCGTGACCATCAATTTCCACTGCCAAATGCACGTCAGCGATTCAGTCGATTGTACCGCTCAGATTATCCGGAGCTCTATGATGTTAGGATTATTTGCGAGGACGGAAAGGTCTTAGAGGCTCATAAATGTATGTTGGTGTCACGACTGGAGTACTTTGAGATGATGTTCATGCACTCGTGGGCGGAGCGGTCCTCTGTCACCATGGAAGGCGTTACCGCGGAGTATATGGAACCGGTTCTAGACTATCTTTACTCCCTGGACACAGAAGCATTCTGCAAGCAGGGTTATCTGGAAACCTTTCTCTACAATATGATCACAATATGCGACCAGTATTTCATTGAATCGCTGCAGAACGTGTGCGAATCGCTCATTCTTGACAAGATCAGCATACGAAAGTGTGGGGAGATGCTTGAGTTTTCCGCCATGTACAACTGTAAGCTTTTGCAGAAGGGCTGCATGGACTTCATTTGCCAGAATCTTGCAAGAGTGCTTTGCTACCGCAGTATTGAGCAGTGCGATGGAGAGACTCTTAAGTGCCTGAATGAGCACTATCGTAACATGTTTAAGAGGGTGTTTGACTACCGGCAAATAACACCTTTCTCAGAGGCTATAGAAGATGAGCTTTTGCTCAGTTTCGTTGACGATATCGATGTGGACCTGGATTATCGAATGGATGCGGTTTGTGTTTCTCGACTAATGGGTTTAATCCAGTCTAATGTTCGTGTCCTTTTTAGGAATCAAAGCTTAAGCAGGCTGCAAAACACAAGCAGAAGGACTTGCGCAAGCAAGGAGCTCGTCACCAGTACGAACAGCAGGCAATATCCAGCATGATGAGGTCTCTGAGCATCAGCGAGTCAGCTCCTGGGGCAGAATTGCCCACTTCCCCCCAGGAAAGCGCTCGCAGTGATGTTAAAAACTGGTCTCGAGTGGTGGATAAGAAGGATCAGAAGCGGAAACAGGCTGAAACTGCTTTGAAGGTGAACAACACAATCAAGCTGGAAGAGGCACCCACTCCTGAACTGATGCCGCTGGAGAAGAAGGCCCAAAAGGAGCAAACTCCTCCGCCTGTCTCTTTGGAACCGGAATCATCCACTCCATTGAGCAAGAGCTACAACCTCGATTTCAGTTCCTTGACGCCCCAGTCGCAAAAACTTTCGCAGAAGCAACGGAAGCGTCTCTCCTCCGAATCGAAGAGTTGGCGGGCCAATAACCCACCCCTAGTGGAGCAATCCTCCGCTCCAGTGCCTGTGCCGAATGCCTGGGGAGTCCCCACCACGCCATCGAGTTCGTTTACTGACTCGTTTACATCTCCGACGACTGGAAGCGGTTCGGACCCAACTTCGTTCGCCAATATGATGAGGGGACAGGCAGTCGCCTCCACGACTGCAACGGAACAGAGCCAGAGCTTCTCGCGCATTCTGGCGGACGAGAGAAGACAGAGAGAATCCTACGAGCGCATGCGGAACAAGTCTTTGGTTCACACGCAGATCGAGGAGACAGCCATTGCCGAGCTAAGGGAGTTCTACAACGTGGACAACATTGATGATGAGACCATCACCATTGCCCGCATGTCCAGGCCCAGTGACATCAACTTCAGCACTTGGTTGAGGCACTAAATTGCCAATCAGGTTGCTAGTTCAGAGTGTTTGTCTTTTCGTTTTTGTTTTTATTAAAGTGTCCGAATTGAAAACGATTTGGAAGCGATGTACTGCGACCAGGGCATCAAATGTAGAACTCGGAGCCGCCTGCAAAGAAGCTCACGATGTACTCCGTTCTGAACCAGATGCAATCGGGATTTGGACGGCACATTGGGTAACAAACTTTATTGCATGAGCACATAGATTATACAGATAGATATAGATATTTACAAGCTGGGGACATACTCAACAATGAGGCAACAAGACAAGTGACGAATAAATAGCCATCTAAGCTAAGCTAAACCGAACCGAACCCGAAATAAACCCGTTGCTTATGCAAATGAGAACACGATGAACGAGGGGTATTGACACAGAGCGGGAGTTGGATGTGGAAGTGGACGAGGAGGAGGTGGAGGAGATGGAGGCGAGAGATAGAGATGACTTGTTCAGAAGCACTCCTTACGAAAGGCGAATCCATACTGGTCGCACTTGTATCTCAGCGTTTTGGCCAACTGAGGCGGACCGCAATAGAAGACGGTGACCTTGCCCTTCTGCTGGGCCTGCAGCTGCTTGAACACCTTGTCCCAGTTGGGTCTTCCTGCATTGGTGCGGGTCTTCAACCCAGTGATTAGATCCCGCTTGCCCTGGTGGAAGAATTAATGCAATTGTTATATCAATCTATCTATCTGATTGATATTTTAATAGATGGGTTTTTTAAGGTTACCTTCTCGTGCAGCAAATCCAAGGCCAATTGAAGACCCACCGCCTTCATGTCGGTTCTTTGCAGGGCACTCGTTATGTACATGTGCATGTCCAGGAAGCTGAGGACATTACAATGTAAAGCTTAATTTCATGGATACTTTGAGCTCAGAACTCACCGCTCCATGGCGCCACCGAGTTCCGCCTGCTCGATTTCCAGCTGGGAGAGCAGATTGACGAACCACTCGAAGGATCTTTGATCCCTGTTGATCCAGAAGAAGTCCACCTTGCGCAGGTTCATCACAGACTTGGGTATCTCGCTGGCCCACTCGAACTGGCACCTCGGACAGCTGTGCCGTGCCTTCCAGTAGCGATGCATAATGGACTGGAGAATGGAGGCGAAGGGAGTGACTCCGATGCCCGTTCCTATGAGCACCGCATGCTGGGCACCAAAGATGTGACTCGAGGGCGCTCCATACGGACCATCGATGAAGATCTAAATGGAAGGGGAGGGGGAACACAATGTTAGCATTGGGATAGGGTTAGTGGTTTAGCCCTGGGTGGCCTTGGTATGTGTGTTCGTGTGACCCGCACCTCCATGACTCCCGCATCGAGTGTGACTTTGCCACCGCTGTTAGTTGTGGAGCTACCAGTCGATCCTCCACCGCCACCGCCGCCGCCTGACCTGTTATTTATGGAGGTGGACAGGGAGCGCAGGAAAGTGGGACGCCGCAGAATGGACTTTCTGCTGCCGGATCCCGTCTGTGTTTGGTCCTTCGGTTGGATGAATTAGTGGTTCATATGAGTTAGTTGGGTAATCAGCTACCGACGACTTACCTCCAGTGGCTTGGAGGCCACCTCGGCTGCCAGACTGAGTCTGGCCACCTGTAGCTTGTCCACCGCCTCCAGCCTGGACCCACCCAGTTGACCCTGCTCCGCCCTGCTGGCAGGACTTGCGCCATTGGCCTCCCCAGCCGCCAGCTGGTGCTCCCGCTCCTCCATGCTGGGCGTCTTGAAGGCGATGATTGTGGGCTTGGTGCGCATGTAGCGGAAGCTCTGCGCCAGCGACTTGTTCTGCGGACTGAGGTAGGCCAATCCCACGCTGTTGTTCCTGGCGCGACGCACCCGCTTCTCATCGAAGGCGGATTCGGATTCGGAGCGACCCAAGGCTCGAAGGCTAAGGGATTGAAAGGGGTAAGTATTCGTCACTTATTCTATTTATAACTTAAACTCACGCCTTGAGGCGACTCCTCTTTTGCTCTTCACGCTGATGTCTGGCAAAGAGATGCTCTTCTCCAGTGGTCGCTGCTTCAAGCTGATGTCTTCCCGCTCGCCATCGCCCACAAAAGCTCCGTTTGGAATGCCTTTCTTGGGCTCCACTGTCTCCTTCCGGGAGAACGTTCTCTGCAGGCTCTTCTTGATGCTGCGGATGCGATTAACCCCTGTGGGTGGCGGATCGGCGGCAGAACCTCCCGCTGGCTTTCGATTCTGGCGAGGAGGACGCACTGGTGGCACCGCCTGCACGGCCAGATTTCTGGCCAGGAAATCCGTTTGCGGTGTGGCAGATCGCTCTCCGGCCAACGCTGGATTCCTGGACTCGTTGAGGAGCATGAAACTGGGCGTGGGAATGGCGTGCATGTGCTGGGGAACCACCTCCGACGAGCCGCTCTGCTGCAGCTTCTGCTGTTCCCTTTCGAAGTACCGATACAGGCGATTGGTCCACTCGCCCACGGTGCGTATGTGCAGCCACATGTAGTCCTCCTGCTCGGGAGCCGAACTGATCGTAAATGGATGCCACTCGTAGTTGGCGATGGCTGGAATGTTCACAAAGACATAGTCTCCAGGCCGAAAATTAAAGTGGTGCGGTCGCTTGATCACCAGGTGAACCACCTTGGAGGGGAGCAACAACCCAGAGCTGATGTACGTCTTGCCGTGCTCTCCCTTCATCCAAATGAAGCGGAGTGCCCGCTCAACTATGTAAACGAGTCCCGGGAGCAGGAACCACTTCCAGAAATTGGGTCCATGGAACAGGCACAGCACCCAGAAGGGAACATAAAGCAAGTGGGTCCAGTAGAACACCTCAAAGCTGCCCTTTCTCCGCACGAAGGGTTGGGAGCACACGAACATCACGACCAATATAGTTAATAAGGCAACTCCTGTGGGATTGGCGCATCCCGGAATCAAGCCAAACAATCCTGGCCGATCTGTGAGCAGCCACTCGCCAATGGTGTAATGTCCAGCATTAATGTTCGGATCGTTGATCACGATGATCGAAAAGTTGAAGAGGTGCATTATCGTGTGAACCAAACTGAGTACGGAGATCGTGATTCCTGTGAGTTTGTGCAGGTAAACGTGGTGATCGAGCGGAAGGTACGAGGATAGTCCACGTCCTCTCAAGTAAGTCAACGAATGCCGCAGCATAAGTACTAACACCCATGCACAGTTGAAGTTTAAACATTGTCCTAAAAGAAGAACAAAGTATGTATTTAAAATCAGTTAACATGTTTTAAAAAGACTGAAATTTTTCAAACAAAAACATCAGGATTTATTTATTGGTATAAAAATTGCAAAATAAGATGGGGGCGTTATTGTAAAAGTAATTAGTACCAGTTCAGATCGAAGATGCTTCCAAATTGTAATTATTCTCATAAAAAATATGGTTATTAGCTAACGCTTCCAACTCATCTGAATTTGAGACTAAAGTCTTTATGGCGTCATTAAAAAATGAACTAACATTTTCCCAATTGCTTGCTAAAGCCCCGTGGTTTAAGCAATGGGCTATTTAAATGAGCTTATGGGAAATTATACTTTACGCATTTTAGTAGGAGATTAACCCCGGCTGTAAACGTGCACAACGATGTCATAAATTGGGGCTTAGATTATGAAACCAACGTTGCCAGAGAGAACTACATTCTGCGGGAGGTTAGTACTACTCACCACAAGCTCTAGCTATGATGACGAATCCATTGCTAGCTCGGTACTGAATAGCACGGGATATGAAGAGGCACAGGTTGACGGATATATAGAAGAAGAGGTACGTCACGAACACCTGGTTATTCTTCATGTAGGCCAGGGAGAACTGATGGGGAAGCGAGCTCCAAATTCCGGTCTTGGCGGCTCCTCCAGCCTGCCGATCCTCAGCAATTGGCACCAGCCAGCGATCAATTCTGCGGATTCATATTAGGTCAGTATATAGCGACTATAAGATCAGTTAAGTCTTACGTTATGCTGAGGTTTTCCAGGAGACCACCATGCTTGTGCAGTTGGTTCTTCAGCGCTTCGTAGGTGATCTCTCCACTGTTGTGTGGATCTGCATCCTCGAACATGGCACTGGTGAGGTCCTCGATTTGGTCCTCTGAGAACTCCATTCCGTTCTCCTTGATGCAATGGCGGATGACATCATGCAGCTCCTTGTGCTGGATGAGCCCATCACCTGGAAATTCGAAACATGTTTTTTAGGAATGCAATAAATTATAGATTGGAAAACCCACCATCTATGTCGTAGACTTTGAACAGGAAACGGATCTTGTCATCGGCCGACTGACCAGAGAACTGGTGAATTGCATCAATGAACTCCTGCAGCGAAATGGAGCCCGAGTTGTCCTTGTCGAAGATCTGAAAGACACGCTCCGTGAAGAAGGGCTGAAAAAAAAGAAAATTAAATAGGTATTTAGAACTACAATCTAATAAATGGAAAGATGGAACACTTTCACAAATTTACAAACGCAAAGTTATCTTGCAGTAAGATCCACGAAAACTTAACAAAAATGATTTGATTAAATGTTTTTCTTTTAAATTGTTTTTTTTGTATAGGTAAAGTAATAGTAATTACTTAAATAAATTGATTCGTCACAGCACTTTACCGACACTTACTAGTATCGGATTTATTTGTATTGGAATTTATTTTGCCAGTCGAGAAAAGTAAAATAAAAAGTTGACAACAAAAATGTTTTTGAGCGATTGGTTAGGTAGCAAAAACGGAGGTAGTCTTAAAGTTTAATAATTATTATTGTTGTTCTTTGCAACTCTCGACGCCAACCCACATTACTCACATTCTTTGAGGTGACGATTTTCTGGAACTCCTCCCTCCGAATCTCCTGTTCGTTTCCCACGGTGTTCCGGAAAAGCTGCTCCAATCGGGCCAGCGAACTCTTATCGAATCCCGTTCGTGGACGGGAGTTGGTCAGGTGGGAGATGAACTCCATCACCTGATTGGTGGACACCAGGTTGCTTCCATCCACTTCTATCAGGCGGTACAGCTTATCGAGAATCTGGAGGGAGATTTAAGGATTGGGATTATAATGAACTCCCTATTCCGGGTAACAACTTACCCCTCTTGTGTGCCAAATATCGCGGAAGTTCTTGAAACTAACCCTGCTGTTTTCCCCACAGATCACGTAAACCACCGATTCGATCTGCTCGGCAAAGTCCATCTGGCGATCGTCACTGCGAGAACCAAAGATACAGATCAACAATTCCAATTAAACGATTTCCAATTTGCCAACTCCCACCTCCTCGCCCACGCCTCTGGAAATATCGCTTCACAGAAAAAGATTCAGTCATGTTTTGACCCCGAACCCGATTTTTATTTAAAGATCGTTTAAAATGCGTCATTCTTGCTTTACGTATAAATATTCGTTTTAAAGTTAAATTACTTGACGTTCTTAAAAAAGTCGTTGATAGGAACAATATTATGCTGATTAATAAACTTGAGTTTGTCAGTAAGATATTATCGAAATGTTACTTTTAAAACTGGATTCCACATAAAATGTTCCTCGAATTCAATAGCCTTTATTTACTGACACATATTTTATCATCTTTATCTTTTCTGATTCCATTTACTGATTTACATGTGTACTCCATCAGCACTTGGCAGCCGAATGCCAAATTATTTTGATTAGTGTTTACGTTCAAAAATAATATATTTACAAGCCATGATGATGTTATACGCTTTGATGTTGTATTGGGTTTTTAATTGTTTCGAAGATCTTGATAAATATCAGCTGGCTATAAAAAATATGTCACAGTGGTATGATATCGGTTTCATTTTTTTTTTTCTGTGCATGCGATACCCGAACTCCCCGATTCCTCTTGCAAAACCCAGAAAGTGCTGCTGCTCGCACTATATTTGTATTTGAATGACTTCATTACGACAGGCAGGCAATGACAGTTTGTGGCCGCAGTGCCCCATTCCCATTCCCGATCCCGATCCCGATCCCATTTCGAGTCCAGAGATCCAACTTTAGAGGCTGTCGAGGCACGCGGACTATGTTAGCTGTTGTATATGTTAACACACAGCGCAGATAGCATCGCCATGGGCAACGGACATCGTCGTCTGGGAACGGAGCTGGCATCCAGCAACCAGCAACCAGCATCCAACAGCCAGCATCCAGCACCTGGCATTTGGCATCTGGGATGCGATGTGGCAGGGGCTTCTGGTCGGCGCAGCTGGAATGCCTGGAGCACGCCAGCCAGGTGCGTGTGTGGAGCCGAATGGATCGGACTGGATCGGATAGCTATTTTCAACCGAGGCGAGCTAATTGTTTTGGCACCGTCGCAGTAGCAGCACAAACATCATCAGTGATCTTGGAGGAGCAGGAGGAACCAGAGGAGTAACCAGAGGAGTAACCAGAGGAGGAGCTAGAGGAGGAGCCCTCAACCAAACCCACACTTACGTTAGCCGACCCTTGAGGTGCTCGATCCAACGATCTTGCAGGAGATAGCCATTCCGCTCGAGATCGAACAGCTGGAAGAGCTTCTGCTGGAATTCCTGTAAGCAAGTCCGAAAAAAAGCGAAGAAAACAAGTTGTAAAGCACTGAATTTATGCGTCTCCGCTTCTGGCCAAGTGTTAATTAATTTACGCTCACATTGTTTGTACAAGCATTTGTTTATGCCCCGCCATCGAAGATTTATACAGACGAGAGTGTTTACACAGAGCCTGACCCACGTAATGAGCATAATTAAGAGTGTTCTGGTCCCAAGATCCCATATCGAAAACTATGCGGTAGTGATGAAGACAGATGCCTGGCATAAATTAGCCGCATATTATCAGTATTTTTATTTTAATGCCATTCGATCTCACGATCCCATGAACGAACGCCCAGCATTGTCTGCAAATCGAAGCGGCGCATCGGATTTTGCATTTGGTCACAGTTGCTGGCGAGGCGATGCGATCCCCCGGCAATTCCGATGATGAAAAATGTGCATATTTAACGGATGAGCCCTGACTGGTTAAACGGCTTTCGGGGAGCCCATAAAAACGAAACACTCTTGGCCGGGCCGATTCGGAGCCGAAACAAAACAAACACCAGCCGCAAAAACAGAGCCCATCAACCAAACGGGTTTTGCGATCGACCAGCGATCGGGTAAAGGACCACAGAGTAAGTGGCACAAGGTCAGGCGGTCTGGAACGCGATTCGGAACCCATATGCATATCCATATCCATTACCATTCCCAGTCGCATTCCCATTTATTTGGCTTCCTCTGATGGAGTAATTTATTGTGAACAGCCAGGAACTACACTCATTTCAGCGCGGTATCAACAGAACATAAATAAGTTGGGGATAAACTGATCGCGAATGGATTTAAAGTTTTTATCTTGGGGTTTCAGTATTCAATTTTTAATATGGGAATGCAATTGTCTTCATAAAATTCGGAAAACAAATGCTTGTAGTTTTCAAGATCAATCTTCTTTGTTATAGTGAACATTGTGTTAAAGTAAACCAGTTAACTAGGCATTTTTATTTTATCGAATTAAACCATCTTTTTTAAAAAACTTATTTATTTTTAAAGTAACTCCATTTATTTTTCCAAAATCAAATGCTCATACTTATCAAAATAAATATATTTTTTATTAAAGAAAAAAATATATTTTCTAAACTTTTTTTTTTTTGGTTCTCTTTTTATATAACTTCTTTTAATCGTATTTTTAATATTCAATGTGATTTCAAGGATTTCCCCCGAAAGCACTCACCTCGTCCAGGAAAAGCTTCCGGAAAGCCTCCCTCGTGTGCTTTCCCTCGCCCTCGTCGAAAAGTGCACTGCACTCGGAAATGAGCAGCCAGCGCTGCTTCTCCCGGCGCGCCTCCAGCTCCATGGAGCTGCAGTTCTTATCTAAATTGAGGTTGTATCGTTCCGTGTACAAATTTGATTGCCGCTGATTCGGATTTCCATTTCCATTTCCATTTGCGCTGGCAATCGCTTCCTGCATGCCAACAACGCTGGCAACCAGAATGCTCGGCGAACTGGCCACAATTGGGTTATCACTTGCCGCCGGTTCACCCGCACCGAAATCCACTGCATCCAGATCGAGAACTGCGGCTTCACTGCTATCTCCAGCTGGCTGCACTTGCTCCTCCTTCTCTTCGGGGGAGTCACGTGATCCGTGCAATCGCTCGAGATACTGAGCTGCCTGCTGCAGCACGTGACTCACTCCCGTGGCAACTGGCGGCTGGATGGGCTGCTGGGCAGGAGTCTGCGACTGGGGCAGCTCATCCGAGAAGGACACTTTCTTGGGGGAACGCGAGGGCGTGACGGGAATCTCCAGGGAACGGCTGGAGGAGACCGAACCGCGGTGGTTACTCGACTCCTGTTCGGAGTCCATGTCCTTCGAGGCAGGAGTTTAAATAAGGGGAACACCAAGAACACTTTACACTTGAGTTTAACACATGCCAGAGGAGTTGGATTTTATGTATAAGGATTTATCCTGGCGTTAGAGGTTCTATCACAGCAGCAACCAAATTGCTCAGCAGCAACAAAAAGATTTTATTTGATTAATAAGTAACACTAACGATTGAGAGTTAAAATCAAGTTAACCACATGCCACAGTATTTTATTTTGTTTCATTAGTTTAAATTATTTTTAGTGGGCTTTATCCTGTCGTCGGCGGTTCGCAATGCAATGTTGCAGCAGCAACACAAGGTCACAGCAGCAACACAACGTCGTATCGCAAGTTATAACTTAACCACACTCAAACCGACCACCTTTCCAAGGAGTGTGATATATTCTGCGGGTATTATCCTCGCGTCGGGGTTTCGAGAACGGCGGCAACACGACGACGGTGCGACAGCAACACGAAGACGGAACGGCGGCAACACGACGACGACTCAGGTAAGAAGCAACACCAATCGGCGGCAGCGGCGAGCAGCAACTGAAAGCGAAAGCCAGGCAGGTGAGGCGAGGGCCTCGGATCGGATCGGAGCGCTATAGCTTTGGCTGCTCTATGGGTGTTAGTATTGGTGAGCGGGAATTCAGCGAACTGAGCCGATCGCTCGACGCTTTGGAAAACGCGTTTGCCCAATATATCGGTTCAGTGTTTCAGTGTTTCAGTGTTTCAGGCTTCTGCCAGCCAGCGAGTTTTAGAATGGACATGCAACGTCCCAGCAGATACTCAGTACGCGTATCTTTGTATCTCTGTATCTGTATCCGCAGCCGAGTCATAAAATGGCTGCTCCGCCGACAGATGATTGCTTCCATGTGAATGTGTGTGCGTGATATTCTAATTTGGTTTTGCGATTCATAGCGGAGCTTCTGTGTACTTATTCGATAAGGGCTGCAAATAATTCAGGTGTCGCGGCGACGTCTTCGTTTTTAATTTCAATGCCCGTGTTTCGTAACAATCAAACTTGTTTATGTGCCGGAGCATTCGAACGTGTCTATTTCCGAATTCCCGGCCAGAGTGCACAGCACATTTCTGTCGCCTTTGTTACGAACTGCAATCGGAATTGGGTTTGGCTTGGAGTGGGTTTAAGCTTGGGCTGGAGATTGGAACTGGAATTGGGTTATTGGACAGCACTCATCGCATAATGGGTCAATGGCAATCGGTCACGCCATTTGGCCAGGAAGTGAGTGCGTGATTGGTCTGCCACTTCTGGCCAATTCAGATTCGAGAGCGGTCTAAGCGGTCAATCCGGCCCAAGGTCGGACCAACACTTCCCCACCCGCTGGATCTCTCGCATACTTTCAACAACTTATTGTTATCGAGTCGTTGAACTACCTCACCTACCTCTCCCCCTCCCCCTCCCCTCCCCCTTTTGCTATCTCATCTTAATAAGCGATTGCAGCGCCTTGAACGCTCGTGAAGTTGAAGTTGAAGCTGAAGTTGATGCTGAAGCTGTGAAGTCTCCGCCAAAGGGCAATAATATGGATACTTTGTGGAGCAGCAGCTAAGACTCGTGTCTTGTTTTCCTAAATGTTGCTACTTTGTTGCCACACTGAAAGAAAAGTGGGATACAAATGAAGAGTTATAGAAGTGAAGTTTAAGGAGGGAAGTAAAATAAATTATTATCTCGTATTTCAAACATTTAAATTTGGCCCAATCTATACATTCACTTTAGCAATTTCTCTTTTCTATCATTCATTATTTAATTATGTAATCGTATCAATTATGTAAAATGTATACCTTTTACTTTTTTCGGCCCTTTATATGTATTTTATTTAATTAGATATTCTGTGATACTGCAGTTGTTTTTGCTTCGAATAAATTTATAGCTCCATAACTTCGGTAAATCATAAGAGCCATAAAATTGATGACTAACTTCGGCAATATATTTCTCCACGTGCAATAAGCGGGCGATCTGCTGATTAATGTTCGACAGCGGCCTTTGGCTTTTGTTTGCAGGTTAGTGCCCCGTGCGGAGTCGGATTGAGATACAGATACGGATTCAGCAACGGACTTATAGATAGATTCAGATCGTTTCCGCCTTCGCTTCACACTTTGCTAATCTGGCTGCATGTGTAAGCCGCTTGTACTATTCGTGGTTGGTTCGTGGTATCTGGAATCTGGTGTCTCGTATCTCGTATTTCGTATCTCGTAGTTCGTATCTCGAGTGCTATCTGGCATCCGAGAGGATCGCACCGCATCCGTCGCGCTTAAGACGGCTTTACTCACCTGTCGGCCGGGCTTTTATGGCCATTGTTAATTGCTGAAATTGCATTCGCAGTCACAGCGGGCGACACTCTTGGCCAGCAAGTCGCATTCGAGCCCCGCTGGTGGCCAGGGAATTGGCCAGTGGCCAGTGGCCAAGTGTCCAAGTGGCCAGTGTCCATTGGACATTAGCCACTGGTCATTGGTCCCTCATTGTGATGGCAGTGGTGGCGCTGCAATTGACACCGCTGCGGCCAATTAAGCCAGGAGTTACAGCTGCAACAGACTCCGAGACTCCGAGACTCATAGACTCGACCACGAATTCATGCGCCGGGTGGTCCGTTCGCAAAACGAATCCCCGACTGCTGGCATGCAGATTGATTTGCTCGGCAAACGTTCGCCGCTTGTGGGCAATTTTCCAAGTGGCCGGCGACGAGAGCAGTGTCATCAATTTAAATTAAGTTCCAGCTTTTTATCGCCACTCGGCGGACCAGTCTCCTCGCCAGTCTCCAGTTCCATATCCTCCCTCCTCCCTCCTCCTCCTTCTCCTCTTCTTTCTGCTTCTCCTGCGCCGTCATCATTATCCAAAACATGTCATTAGGCCCAGTGCCAGTGTAGCGTGGCCAGAATCCTGTTCTGCGGCGACTGTCTTCGCTATCAACTTGGCATTCCAGATCCGAGCTCCCCGGCTCCAAAACAGAGACGTCGACTGAGACGGTGACGTCGACTGCGACTGCGACTGCGAAGCGTAGAGCGTTGCGTGCAGCGGAAATTGGCCAGATACAGATACCTCGACTCGAACGCAGAATCCGCCGAGTCGCAGACGCGCTTACATCGATCGGTTTTCGCCTAATAAAGCGACCGCGATCGCCACGCTAATTAAAATAATTGAAATTTCTCACGGGAAACGCGCATCGCGACACTTGCAGGGCATCCTATGTCCACTCCATAACCCCATCCTCATTCCCATCCTCATCCCCATCCCGATCCCCATTCAGATCCCCATCCTCTGTACCCCATCCTTTGCCATATCCGTTGCTAGTGCGGCTAATTGCAAATTGCAACATGGACATGTGGACATGTCCAACAATCGAATTGACAGCTGCTTTACCCCTGGCACATTTGACGGACATTAACATGGATCATCGTCCGTTGTCCGTTCGCTCTTCCAGCTCTTCCAGCCAGCGGTCGGCGCTGGCGAGGATTCCAGCATAAATGCATACATTTCATTAGCCGCTGACAGGACAGATCCCGCTAGTGTTGGGCCCCTAAATAAAGTAAATTAAGTGTGCTTGAATGGGGCAACTCAATAATTCAACTTGCACTGATCGAGCTGATTAACCCACTCTCTGCGAGAGTTTAAGTTAAGAACAATTATTCCCATACTTAGTACATTCATCAAGAATAGTTAGAGCAAACTTTTACCGAAAATGATAACATTTTAATGCACTTCAGAATTTACTTCATTTAAATCATTAAAAGTAATCGAGTAAAATTGTTTTTACAGAAACATATCTAAGGCTTTTGAAAAATGAATACAATTATTTATATACAGAAGATAGAAACTTTTCTAAATTTAATATTCCTACATTTGGTTAAATATTTCGTGGTAATAAATAAATTAATATTAGCTGTCAGTTTTAAGTTAAGAAAACTTAGGTAATTCTTGTTTTAAAGTTTACCCAAATATTTAAAACCTATGAATGAGATTCAATTTAACGGAAAGTTTTCGAATTCTGTTTAGATAGCAAAGTAGGTAGTCGAATGTTACTTAATTCAAGAATTCCAAATTTTACCAAAAATATTTGTATAAGAAACGGGTGTTCAAATAATAATTAAGTGCAAACGCAGTACTTTCATATTCAAGTTTACCTAGAAAAACATTTGCAGAGAGTCGTGACTCTTGAAAAACCTTAATTAACAAAAAAATATGGGTTAATAGAGCCACAGGAAACGCCTGGCGAAAATAAAAGGTAACTAAACGCAGAGTTTCATAAAACATTGTTGCCAACGATCGCGAATCGTGGATTGTGGATCGTGGCATGCGCACTCTGATCGAGATCGCAGCGACAGATAGCGGACCAAAGTTACGATCGTACATATGCATATAGACTGGGTCCCCGACGCCCCGCCAACCCACCACCCCTTCTATATCTCCGCCTCGGGGCCGTAAAGTTGTCGAAAATGATTTGCAGATCAAGATTTGCGCACACAATTTATGTGATAACCCACTAAGAGCAGCCCAAAAAAAAAAAAAATAAATAAATAAATAAATAAAAAAACCAAGATTTAGAGAGCAATGCAATTGCTATGCGAGATTGGTACTACTCCCTGCTCCACTTCCTTCGGATCCTGCTCCTCCTGATCCTCCGACTGCGTCCAATTAGTGCGTGGACTCCAGCTGCATTTGAAATTCATGGACAATTGTTAGTGCCTCCATGTAGCGCTAATAATGACGCCTTTAAATGTGCAATAACAATTTTTGAGGCGCGCAAAAAGTGCCTTCTATATATAACTATATCGGTATATCGGTGTGCGCCGTCGTGTGCGTGAGCTTAAGTACCGCCCATAGGCCGGCAAACCAGCCACCGCTGCAGTGGTGACTCCCCCTCAAGACCCCGCAGATCCGCCGGATCGCTCCTCTGGACTCTAGATCTACAAAAAAGTTGCTCATGAGCTACGTGAGTTTCTTACTGATCAGCACGACGAGCAGAAGATTGACTTTGATCTGTTGGTGGTAATGGCTAATGGATAATGGGCCAGCCCGAGTGCGGTTTTCACTTAGCCAATCGGGCCAATTGGCATCCCAAACATGACTCATAAAATCTGGCATCCTGGTTTCTTAAGGCAAGTTGCGTATACGCACCGTGTGCTCGCAAACACTTCAGAGGAATTCGTTGATAGTATGATAATAGGCAGTGAGATAGATTGCCTTGACATTTTATCGCTAAGTCAACGTTTAATGGAGCTGTTCGAGTGAGAACTTCATATGCTCGTACGTGTGATTGTGTTCTCAGATTGCAAGTTCTAGGGAAAATCCATCGCACCAACAAGTTTAACATGTGAATCACAGCACCCACGTATATAAAAAAAATGTCTGCAAAATATTCTTTTGTTTACTGATAAAAGGTAAATATGGTTGAGTTAAGGCTAAAAGGTTAACCGTTCACTACACAAAGAAATATGTTGAAACTTTTTATTTGAACCAAGAATTAAAAAAAAACTACAACATTTTTTTTTATTTTCACTATGCTCCATTTTGTACA